CTACATTCGCATTTTTTCTCTCAACTTTCGCAGTTTATTTCTATTTTACCTCTTTCTATTTCAGTATAATGTGTTGTGGTGTTTCATAAAAATGAAAAAATTAAGTATCCAAAATTTCAAGATCTAAATTGCAGATATTGAAAACTTAAATGGTAATTAAATAAAAGGAATTTGATTTCTTTTAAAATTTTAAGCAAAAATATTACTATAATTTAAAATTTATTAATTTAATAATGGGCGTGATTCACTATTATTGTGGCACTGGTGACTTAATGGGTGTACAAAATGCTGTAATCGTGTAACCAAACAAAACTAAATAGAAGAGAACAAAACCAAAAACAACCTTCTTGTAAATATTTTTCCGCGAGCAATACTTCCATCCTGCACAGGATGATGAAGTTTATCTCCCTGCTGACGTAGCAATATATTAGAGCGCCACGTGTCCAATATTTAAAAAAATATGAAGATAGGCAATGCCCTTTTTTGCCGGTTAAACCCGCCCTTCTCTCTCTCTAAATGCTGAAGACTAATATTAGCCTCAACTTCCGCCTTTCCACTCATACTCCCACCACCATCACCGCCATCATCTTCAATGCCTTTGTGATACCCCTCGGATCCAAGACACGAGTTGATCAGGCCCAGGCCCAAACCCGAGGGAATATCAAACACTTAATATTTTAAAATGAACACAGATTACAAAATAGATTTAAGAAGATAAAATAATAAAGTTGAAACGAATACCAATATAAAATCCTCAACTGATAAAAATTAAATAAAACCAATCTCTGAAACCTCTATGAATACAACTCGGGAATCCATCTCTAGTGGACCCCTAATAATAATCCAAACTGAAAAGAAAACTACTAAAAGAACATCCATGGTAAACCATGGAGAGAAGTCCTACGTCGTCGGAAGAGTGAGTGATGGTCTCTGTTCAGCATCAAGCCTACGACTGGAACGGTCGAACACCTGAAAAATAGAAATGGGTCAGGCCCACAAACAAGTTATATCCTACAACTATCCAAACAGAGACTCGATACGCATATACATTCTAACCAACTCAACAATAACTAATAGTCCGTACATATGTATATTCACACTACAAAACTCTCACTGGACTATGAAGAGGGTCTTAACCTAAATAGAAGGTAACATGTGAAAACGCACCCATAGGTGGGCATGAGTACCTAAACCTAACAGGGTATACCTCAACCTCTCATATCCAGCTACGCATCCTACTACATATACGCTCCCTAACTGACGACTCTGAGACTCAAGCTCGTATCGCGGTACCATAAAAATATATTTTAAGTCATCTCCTATCCATTCAAACCAGTCTAGTTAGTCATATAGCTTGTTCAGCTTCTTTGACTTAACTTGGATAACAAGTAATCCATTTAGTCATTCAGCTTGTGCAGCTTCTTTGACTTAATTATAAGTATGATTGATTTCATAATTCATTCCCTTATTCCGTATAGGTAGGATGTAGTATTTTGAAACTAATCCGTCCCTAATATGTCACCGTCCCATACCGGTGTATACAATCCATCCATCCAATAGTTGATAATACACATAATGAATATAAATACCAACTAATCCACAGCATCCATATAACTGACAAAACATAAATAAATGTTTACATCCATTAATTGCATACAAGGCATAACAGAATTTCGTAAACTAACATGTTTGTCTTATACCACTGTTACATGATTCTCTCATAACTTATAGCATAATGAAAAAGTATAAACATCCTTTAATTCGTGATAAGCATAATCCAAATATATGTTTGAACATGCTTACTTTATACCGCTACACAATTATCCAATAATTGATATTACATTCAACACATGTATACCTCCATTTATCCTTTATAAGCATATAACAATTCTGTAATCTGACATGCCTATATTTTACCACTGGAACATGGTACCTCAATTAATTTAATGGCAAGCACAATACACCTAGACAACCTATTATGCTTATACATCCAGTCCAGCAATTGATGAACAAGTACTAAAATTTAGTCATCAACTAATATTAACAAGCGTAATTAAAATAAGATAGACTTTAATATGCTCATTTTACACGACTGTTACATGATTAAAATTGGATAATCATTCTCGAAAAATTATTTAAAACGACACAAGCTATTTTAATCACTCGCATCCACTGATAGTTTACATAATTGTTAAGAAACATTCACTGCTTAACCTGTAAACCCTAAGTGGTTTATCCTCCATTCCCACATCCTCTGAAGTCTCAATATAACATTAGATTACTTTCAAATACTCATGTACAGTCCCCGTTCACTTCAGACAGGTCAAAAACCACCCCAGAGTCGGAAAAATATCAAAAATTAAGAGAGAGGGGGAAAAGAGACGTCTCCTCACAAAGGGGAGCCGCCTCCACCTCTTTTGGAGCAGACTCCACCCTTGTGGGGAGCCATCACCTTCTCTGGTTTGCTCAGTTCTCTCCTCCTCCTTCACTGGTTTGATATACGGCGACTACCAGTTGAACTGTCCTCCCTCTTTAATGTTTCTACTGATTAAAAATAAAGTTCCAGAGACTATAAAAATCTTTAATCACTAATCAGCATCAATATGAACAAGAAATACACACAGAACCATTAAACAAACAAATACAGAAACATCTAACCACAGACAGTCAACAACGAACCTAAACATGCAACCAGATTAACTTAGCAGTTTATTTACTCCTGGAGTTGTAATAGAGATGCAAAGAACACAAGTCCAAGGGAGAGAGTAAGGATAGAACTTGCCTTTAGCCTTGCACAGTCGTCTTCCTAAGTTTTCTGGCGAACCACCTACTGAAATCCTCCTCTGTTCCCTCTCTGCCTCCACAACCGTGAGTAGGGTTCTAAAATCCTAGGCAGAGTCTTATTACATACATTTATAGGTTTATACAAAACCTAAATTTAATTCAAGCCCTAAACTGAATCTTGGTCGGCCCACAGAAAATCCTAATTAAAGTCTATGTCGGGTTATAACTTAAACTTGAACAGAACCCTAACTCTATTTTCATAATTAATAACTAATCCATGTAATAATTAATTCAATTAAAGGAAAACAACATATTCTATTAAAGAAAACAATTAACACTATTAAAGAAAAATAATTAATTCTATTAAATAAAACAATTAACACTATTAAAGAACATATCATAATATAAGTCGTCATTTAATGCAAATAAACACGCCAATAAACAATTAAATAATTAAAATTTAATTAAAATAATAAATTAATACTAGGACTATCCTTTAGAAATTAGGGGTATTACAGCCTTCGCGGAGGCACACTCCGGCTACACCATGTCTCTCAAGAACACCGGCGCTGCCCTCTCCATATACACCTACGGCGGTCCAACCCTCCCAATTCCCAGCTTCTGCCATCGGTTCCCCTCTCATCTTCCTATCCCCCTCTCCTCTGTAACGTGCCGCCACCATGCTTGAATTCATCCCCAAATTTGATTTCAAGCAATCGGATCCAATAATCGAAGTAGACAACGAGGACGAGATGTGAAGGATGAGGGTTTGCCTCTGCCATTGTCGCCAGACACGACGTAGGTGTCCGGGGAATTTTTTTTTATTATTTATTATTATTATTTTTTTCTGTGGATAACATGCCGAGATCAATTTGGAGGAGGTTGATGAGAGTAGGGTTGGAATGGAGAAGCATGAGCCAAAGGTGTTTGAGGAAAGGGCTAAGAGAGTTGATGATGGCGGCGGTGATAGCAGTAGGAGGAGTTAGGGGTGCACATGGTTCCGGTCGGAACCGGAACCGGAACCGGAACCGTTCACGACGATTCCTTAAAAACGGAACTGAAACCGGAATCGTATAGTAGGAACCGAACTAGAACCGAACCGTACGGTTCCATGAGAACTGTTAACTGTTTGGTTTGAAGAAATATATACACAGTGTCATTCCGGTTAGTGGATACAATGCAAATTAATTCCCAATTATTAGCAAAATAATGATGAGGAAAGATACCTCCAAAGAGAAATTTAGGGTTTGGATCCTCCATTGCAATATCTGATGTTACAGCCGTTGACCAGTCAGCAAAAGAGTATAAAGAATTCTTTAGAGAAATCAAATCGTAGGGAGAAGAACAGTATACGAGCAATCCAATCCTCGAACCAATAACAATCCCTGAGACCCATTTCAGGAAAGATCTAAAACTACTTGAAGTTTTCTGGAAATTGGAATCACAGTGAGAGAGAATGGAAGAAGAAGAAGGTGTGGCAGAGAATGGGCGAGTGTGGAGCCGTTGGATTATGGGTAGGGGAATGATGTTGGATTATGGGTAGGGGAATGATGGATGGTGAGGATAGTTTTAGGGTTCTACAGTAAGACATGAGAAAGATGTAGTCAACAGAAGCGATGGCGAGGGCGATGAGGACTGAATCTATGATTGTAAATAATATTTAATCAGCTACATTAAAAATGGCCTTATCTTTACTTATTTTTTAGTATAAAATTAAATATATAATACATATATATATATATATATATATATATATATATATATATATATATATATACGGTTCTGGTTCTTATTGGTTCCGACAGGTTGGAACCGGAATCGGAACCGTATGTACACGGTTCCTAAATTCGAAACCAGGACCAAAATCAAAATAGTTCCGGTTCAGGTTTTACGATTCTGTTTCTTTTGTGCACCCCTACGAGGAGTGAAATATTGGTTATTATGCATTTAGAGAAAGAGGGAAAGAAGAGACTGACAAGGAAAAATGGGTTTAACATGCAAAAATGGGTATGACCTAACTTCATATTTGATTTATTATTGAAAATGTGACGCAATAATATGTTGCCACGTCATCCGGGAGATGAACTTCATTCTCCGTACAAATGAGTTTTTATCCATAATGAAAAGTAGAGGTAAAAAAAAAAATTAAAAAAAGATAAGTGCCCTGACCGTGTAACCAAACAGAACTAAACAGGGGAGAACAAAACCAAACACAACCTTTGGTATTTCTTTTTACTCCTTGCAAAATTTATTCTCTACTTTCTATCCACGCAGTCTTTTGCGTTCCTGCGTCTCCCAATTTCTACCCCCCAACCTCTCTCCGTTTCTGGTTTGAGTTAAAGAAACTATTTCAGTGCAGGCAGATTGGCGGTGGATCGCATCTGTATCTTCTTTCTCCTGGTAACCCTAAATCTGTTATTTTTTTGATGTATTAATCTCTCTCTCAGTTTGATTTAAGTTGGCATGTAAATCCTAGACTCATTGAATCTTTGTGGTCTACTATAATTCTCACCGATGGTATATAGATGGAAATCTTCGTGGTCTACTATAATTCTCACCGATGGTATATTGATGTAGGTCTGATACATATCACACAACCCTAAATCATATATAGTTCTCCCGATAACTTTAAATTTAAGTTTATTATTACATGTTCATATGATTAAGAATTGTCTTGGTATTTTATGTGGAGATAAGTTGAATTAATCGTTGTTTTTCATCAAACTTGTAGGCTGATCATATTCAATTTCAATTTCCCGACATGAACCATGTTGAATACTACTCTTTCCTTTTATTTTAAGTTTTCTGATTTGAGTTCCGATTCTCTTTTCAGTTGGATCAGGAGGCAATTACTGGTAATTGACTGTAGAAAAGTAGAGAAGGAAGGATGTTTGGTGCTAATAACCGTAAGTGTTTGTCTTACCATATTTACATTTGGTTTTATTTATTTATTTTCATAAATTCAGTGTTTGTATTTGCCTGTATGTTTCATATTTTATGTATACTCTGTGGGTTGTTTCCTTTCTAGACATGAACAGAAATTCTATATGGAGATGTATGAATTTATTGGATAATATATATATATATATATATATATATATATATATATATATATAGATAGTTATTAAAAAAAGAATGCTGATATTGTTTTGTTGATTCTTTAATAAATACGATCTACGTGTTCAGACTTTTTTTTGTTAATAGTCCATTCATGTTAAATCTTTTCTCTTCTGGATTTGTCTCCATTTTTTACTTAAGTTTCTCTAAGAGATTGAATTATCAACCTGATTCTTTTGTTCCTTGGAAGTTCCCTTAGTTATATCCACATACCATCATTTTCATCTTTTTCTTAAGTATAATTGTCTTCATTTTGCAAGCCCCAGCTCGCGTGAATGGATTCTTTTTATTTTTTTATTTTTAATTTTTTTTTTTTTTTAGTGTCTTTCTATGCATCTCAAGTCTCAGAATTGGGTTTTGTTTGCTACCCTTGGTGTATTCTTATGCTTATGAATGAATGATTTCGTTGTCTTTACTATTTTTCTTACCTTGAATCATGCGTCTATTTTTCTTACATTGAATCATGCCAATGAAGCTCATGCTGTTTAAATTCCAGCATTGAGAGGGAGAGAGACGAGGATGAGGATGACGATGACTGGGGGTTGAGACTTGAGATGGCAGTGAGTGAGAAGATAAGATTGTGATCTCATCCAAAGGGCTGTTTGGATAAGAATTTTAGAGCTTGTACTTTGAATGCAAAGATGTAATATGGGTTGTTTCTATATTTATAAGATATGGCTTAATGGGTCTGTTAGAATGAAACAAGATTCTCGGTTGTTTAGATATTAATAGAAGTTCGAATTTTGTGGGCCTAATTGGGTGAAATAGATATGGGCTTAAGCCATATGATTTGTGTTCATGAGCCTAGATGAGCCTAGCCTAGCCTGACATTGTTCGGGCTTGGCTTATTTATTAAATGAACCTAAAAAATGAGCTCTAGTGTAGCTTGTTTACAAAATGAACAAGCCCGAGCCAAGCACGTGCTGTTCACAATCACTTCGGTTCAATTGCAGCCCTATGCCAGTTTTTAACTTTTTTTGGTATCTAGTGATATGGGATTAGAGTTATTTTAATTGACATGTTGGTTGAATGTATATTTCTGTTCGAAATATACATTGACTAGTCTAGCTTTTTCATTGTTTGGTATTCTATTTCTTACACATCACGCATTACTTTTCTTTTTCTTTAAATACTAATTAATGTTGAACCATTTTACAGCTTTTGGACAGTCATCTAGTAGTCCATTTGGGTCCCAGTCAGTTTTTGGGCAGTCAAATAATGCAGGTAGCAACCCGTTTGCTCCTAAACCCTTTGGTAGTACAACACCTTTCGGTTCACAGACAGGTGGCTCTATTTTTGGTGGCACTTCTACCGGTGTGTTTGGTACACCCCAATCTTCACCTTTAACTGCAACGCCTACATTTGGTGCTTCATCATCGCCGGCTTTTGGTAGTTCAATGCCTGCTTTTGGAGCTTCATCAACTCCTGCTTTTGGAGCTTCGTCTCCATCATTTGGCAGTAAGTACAGTTATTGGGTGTTTGTAAAGTTAATCCTCCCCATTCCTTATCTTATTCATTTATATTGATACAATATCTGTAAGGCACATCTATGGATGTTCTTGGCCCTCTTGGGATGTGTTAGCATCCTGATATCATTCATGGATGAATCACTAAATGTGACTGAATACATTTAAGTGAAATGCTTCTATCATATTTTCTACACTTCATTATCCATTAATTTTGTTGATTGCTTATAATATTCTATTGGAAAATGGAAATGCTTCTTTTGTGAGATATGTACTCCCTATCTATTGGCATTTCAAGTTTTGTTTACGAATATATTTGATCATGACAAGACTTGGCTCAGTAAGCCCTAAAGCTTAATGCGAGTGCATCCGTTTGCTGAGATTGATGTAGACAAAGTGTTTTCTGGGAGTTCCTTTAGTGAGGTCAACTTCTTGTTCCAAATTGCAATTTTGGCCTGTCATTTTGCTATTTGTAGCAACTTTTTGTTCAGGCAAATGATTTGTTTCTCCCATGTAATAAAATAAATAAATAAATATATATATATATTTATATATTGTGATTCTTTCTTGTAATTTGTCTGAATACTTGTATACTTTCTTGCACTGATGTTATTTGATGCACTTATCATGTTTTAGTGATCATAAAGTTATTCTTATACCTATCAAATGACATTTTGCATGTAGTTTATTGTATGTTTAATATAACATTCTAAATTTTCTGGTTGTTTTGTTACAGTTTTCAGTTTACTAATTATGAACTTGCCTTCCACATTTATCACAAAGATAAGCACCTCCTTTGCACCCCACTTTCATTCCAATGATCCCATCAATTATCTACCCAATGAATTAAAGGAGGATTGACATTTTTAAAACTTCCTCCATGACATCAATCCAACTTAGGTTTCAGTATTTGTCTCCTTGCTAGAAGTCCTACATTCAAATGTTACACAACCAAACCCAAGTGCATTTTAGTATTTTTAGTGATTATAACATTATTCTTATATATATCAAATGACATTTTGCACATAGGTTATATATTATTAATATGATTTAGTTTACTAATTATAACCACTATGTGACTTATCAAAAAAAAATTATAAGATTTGGCTTTCCTTATATTCCTTGTGAATATTTTTATCGTGATAAGATTTGGAGCAGAAATCAAACCCAAGTGCATTTTATTTGGAGTGCTTGATCTGGACAAGGTTTGGTTTAGGAGTAATTCATTAAGACTCATTTCCCCTTGCAAGTCGCAGACTTTTGAGCCTTGTATTACAGTTGACTTTGGTCTTTATAGCTTATTGTTGCTGAAGGAATGATTGGTTTTGTCTTTCAATTTGAAGATCCATCTGTTAAGTTTGTTTTCTCATTCTGTGGTTGCATGATACTTGCTTGTTTTCTTTCTTGCCCTTGCGTTCTTGCTTGTATCACTTTCTTCATTAAGGTGAAAATTTGGAGTAATATCAGTATTTCTATTCCATTTATCAATTGATTGATTCTTGCAAAGCCACTATCAAAGTAAAAGAATTTCAGTGGAAACATATTTTAGTATTCTCCTTCTCAGTTGTATGCTTGTTTATTGGAGAATCTTGTTTATGGTCCACTTGTTTAAATAATTTTTTGAACTAATTAATCCTCTGTGTCTCTTCATTTATGTTGAAAATGTAGGTTCTTCTGTATTTGGACAGAAGCCTGTTTTTAGTGGTTTTGGGTCCAACACTGCCCAAACAAGTCCTTTTGGAAGCACGTTTCAACAATCACAACCAGCATTTGGGAGCAGTCTATTTGGTTCCTCTACGCCTTTTGGTGCATCTAGTCAACCTACCTTCGGTGCTTCCAGCACACCATCATTCGGCGCGACAACCACACCAGCGTTCGGCGCGACAAGCACACCAGCGTTCGGCGCGACAAGCACACCAGCGTTCGGCGCGACAACCACACCAGCCTTTGGTTCTACAGCGAGTCCAACATTTGGTAGCACAGGCACTGCATTTGGTGTATCAAGTGCCCCGGTTTTTGGATCTGGTGGAGCATTTGGAGCTTCGAGCACCCCAGCATTTGGTGCTACAAGCACTACACCTTTTGGTGCTTCCAGTGCTCCATCCTTTGGTTTTGGGTCCAGTCCTGCATTTGGCCAATCCACCTCTGCATTTGGCCAATCCACCTCCGCGTTTGGAAGCAGTCCGTTTGGTACTACTACATCACATTTTGGAGCTCAAAGTTCTCCATTTGGTGAGTTACTTTCAAATGTGTATGTGTAGTTGTACATTCTTGATTTAAGGTTGAACTTTTCGTTATCAGTGTATGAGGGACTTTGGTAGCTTATTGTTACAAGTGGAACTTGTCCCACATCGGATTTGGATGGGGGTTGAAGTGTGTATACGTGGGTAGGTATGCAGCGCTACCCAATAGCTTGAGTTTTTAGGTAAATGGGCAAGCGCCTACTTGTTACCGCTGGTATCAGAGTCAGACCCAGTCCTTAATTTGGTATCACCCCAAGCGCCCGCCCCGGAGGGCGTTCGGGTCTGTCCCCGGATAGACAGGGTGGTCCGACCGCAACGAGGATGTTGCGCGGTTTCAGGGAGAATGTTACAAGTGGAACTTATCCCACATCGGATTTGGATGGGGGTTGAAGTGTGTATAAATGGGTGGGTATGCAACACTACCCAATAGCTTGAGCTTTTGGGTAAATGGGCAAGCGCCTACCTGTTACACTTATACTCTGTATGCCTTTTTATTTTCTCTGTTTTTTCTGAAAGTTTGTTTTCTTATGCAGCGGCACAAGCTACAACACCAACATTTGGGAGCTCTGGCTTCGGGCAGCCTGCTTTTGGTGGTCAACGGGGGGGCAGTAGAGTGGCTCCTTATACAGCAACTCCTGAAGTTGATAGTGGCACTGGTTCACAGCCTGCCGGGAAGCTGGAGTCGATATCGGCCATGCCTGTCCACAAAGACAAAAGCCATGAAGAACTGAGATGGGAGGACTATCAGTTGGGAGATAAAGGTATATTTCTAAAATTAAAATCTTGAACTCTTTCATGGCTTGTTGCATGCTGTGGAATTTTTAATTAATCCCTTTGTTTCAATTTTAGGTGGACCAGCTCCTGCTGGGCAGTCTGCTGCTGCAACTGGATTTGGTGCTGCGAATACACAGTCGAACCTTTTTGCTTCATCAACATTTGGTCAGTCAGCTGCAAATCCCTTTTCATCATCAACACCTTCGAACCTATTTGCTCCGAAAACTCAAGGGTTTGGTAGTTCAGGCTTTGGGTCCTCGTCCACTCCTGCATTCGGTTCGTCTCCGTTTGGAGCTTCATCTTTGTCCAGCCCTTTCGGGTCAACTTCTTCGGCAACACCTTCTATATTTGGTTCATCGACCTCTGCATTTGGAGCCAATACCACCCCGTCTCTTTTTGGTTCATCAAGCTCATCAGCATTTGGATCATCAACGTCTATTTTTGGTTCTGCACCTGCTCAGGGAACAACTCCAGCATTTAATTCTGGTTTAAGTTTCGCCAACACCCAATCATCCCCTCTGTTCCAGTCAGCTACACCTTCACTTGGTCAAACAAATTCTGCTTTTGGACAGACTGGCTCTTCATTTGGACAGAGTAACCCTGCTTTTGGTCAATCATCTATATTTAATACCCCTTCCACTGGGTTTGGTGGGAACTTGTTCTCAAGCACTCCATCACTGCTCCCTACGAGCAACCCTTTGGGATTTGCTCAAACAACTGTAAGTTACCATGTTCACTACTACTTTTTTTTGTTTTTGTTTTTGTTTTTGTTATTTATTTATTTATTTTTGTAAACAGTGATTTGATTGTTCTTCTATGTCATTGTTCTTAAGTTATGGCATTGGTAGGGGTAACGAGTGTTGTAGTCTAGGAATCTTATGTGAATACAATGCAATAAATTAGGAAGTAAAGAAGATATGATATGTGGTCACTTTGGTATTTTCAAATATTTCGCACAAAATAAAGAGATCTATAGAATTGGCTATACATAAATGTGATTTGATTCCACACTAAATGGATTGTTTTGTATAAGTGTGAGTAAAGGCTATACGGGCATAATGTTTCCAGATTCCTCAGTAATTCTGCTAAACTCAATACTTCCTCTGTCCCATATTAATTGTCCTTCTTGGGGAGTAGGACTTTGTAAGGGACATGCAATTAATGCATTGTTGTCCCCTCTTAAAATTACTGAGTTATCCTTTCAAGTTTGAATATATTGATGGTTTTTATTATTATTATTATTATTATTTTAAATTCAATGGTATTTATGGAAAGATGCACAATATCTTATTTGAACTTTTTAAGTGGGACAAGTATTTTGGGACGGAGGGAGTATCATAGTAGCAAGCATTGACATGACATATAAAAATGAAGGGTCCGAATAAGGACTTGATTTATATTGTTGTCAATCAAGAAATCCCTCAGAAATCTAATATGTAAATGTCATATAAAAGAAACTTCAGATTTTACACGGCTGTGAGTGTCAGTGTCTGCCTGTAACATTTCTAATATTTATACACCACTGGTCTCTCATTGATTGCTTAAGAATGTGATTTTCTTCACATTTAGTTTGATGGCTCAAGTACTTTCTCAAAGCATTGTTTTCCCTTGCCTAAGGCTGATTCTGAGTTTTAAGTTTTGGCTTTTATGCATCTGATGTGTTCGATTCAATTTTTATTTGTATCTGCAGCCTTCTCTTTCAACACCTTTTCAGGCGGCCCAACCTGCTCAGTCTACAGGGGCTTTTAATTTTGGCAACTTTGGTCAGACGCAGCAAACAGGTAAGTTCAGTACATTTTATTTTTTTAGCTTTTTTCCACTGTAAACATTCAACATTCTTATTGCTGACTTTATTTTCTTCGGTGCTTAATAGCTGGTACAAGTGGCTTTGCTGGCATGTCAAGCATTTTTGGGCAGAATACTTTTGGGCAATCGTATGTTCCATCCAATCTAACTTCCCTTTGGCTCCTATTTCACACACCCACTTCCAAATAGAAGGATGTAGGATTGTTTTCCCTTGCACGTGCATCATGTTTATGATATTTCTATATATGAATAAAAGAAGTTATATGTGTAGGCATGTTTTTGTGATATTTTTTCATTAATTCTTTTATTTTCTCACTGTATTCTGCTTAAAGCATGGTCTTTTGAAATAATGGTTATTATTGGCATCACCAATTTTTAATTTGTAAGCCCTTTTTGTGATACCACCATGCTCTTGTTTGTAACAGGTCTGCCACTCAGAATGCTGCGGTTGCACAACCAGTCCCTGCTACAAATCCTTTTGGAACTCTACCTGCAATGCCTCAGATGTCAATTGGTCGTGCAGGGTCTGCACCTTCAATTCAATATGGAATTTCTAGTTTGCCTGTAAGTATGATTGTTCCGATTCAGTGGGATTTTTTTTTTTTTTTGGGGGGGGGTGCGGGGAATTGTTCTGATTCATGGTTTATTTGCAATAGGAATCTAGTTTGCTTCGATTTGCTTCTCAGAGAATTTGTTTTAGTTGATCTCTGTTGGTGGTTGCCTGTTTTTATGCTTTCAATTTCTGATCTTAAGAATGATGGAACAAGATTATTGTGTTCGTGTAGTTTGACATTGTTATCCAAACAGGTCGTTGACAAACCTGCTCCTGTGAGAATATCAACTTTGTTGACTTCTCGACACCTTTCTCAAAGGCGGATTAGGTTGCCTGCAAGGAAATATCATCCTAAAAGTGATGGTCCAAAGGTGAAGATAAATTTTCTACTGAAATTAGTACCAAGTTTCAAATTGATATCATTTTGTCCCATGTATGGGGCTTCTAATGAGTATAAAGTCGAGCTCTATACGGAATCCCCATCTAATAAGACTGCAGTCACATGGTTGTTACTGTAGATTAGTACTTCTATACTTACACACTATTACTTCATTGTGGCATGCAGGTACCATTTTTTAGCGATGAAGAAGAAACGCCCAGCACGCCCAAGGCAGATGCTCTTTTCATTCCTAGGGAAAATCCAAGAGCTCTGGTAATTCGCCCCCTGGAACACTGGCCGGTGAGAACAAATGCAAAGAAAGCATCTCTATTGAAGGAACCATCTACTCTGGTACACGAGAATGGTAAACTGTCACATTTTGCATCTGGTATACTCGAATTCTTGAGCTTATAAAAAGTGATTCATTTATTATTAAGAATCTAAACATGTTTCTCTTTCAGATTTGAGCTTCATTGGCTATGGTTGATTATTTTTTAACGCATTGCTCATTACATTCAGGTAAAACTTCTGAAGCAGTGTCTACCTCTCATTTAAATGGCTCCAGTGCAGAGCAAAAAGATAGTAAGTACTTGTTCTTGCTGACTTTTTCTATAATCACCTACTCCTAAATCTTATGTTGTGTGTGATTTCTCATTCTAATTTCAATCTCTTTCTATTGTTGAAGTTCCACTTACTGCTGTAATGTTGTTCAGTTTTTATTTGTTCATTTATTGTAATCTGATGTGTTGAAACTGTTTATGCCTCATGCTTGATGGTCAACCTTTGTCATTCTTCATTTAAATGGGGAAAATTTTCATCAATCAAAAAAATAAAAAAGGGGGGAAATTTTTCTAATGTTGACTCTTGGTGAGATTATGTAATATGGACAAAAAGCAGACACAGTGACTTCTGTCATGGAGATTTGATTATGAATTGATACAGCTATTGCACATTGGATAGCCTGAGCCTTTTGAAGGTCAACCCAACCAAGCAAAACATATTTATTTTGGTTTTGGGGCGATGCCCAACATGAACTCATCACAAGACTTAGATGCTAAAGAAGGGCAGTCAATGTACCAGGCCCCTAGTTCTCAAAGGGAGGTCAGGGGTTCGAACCACAGTGGAGGCATGTGTGTGTGAGTACCAACTAGGGAAAACAGAAGGGCAGTCGATGTACATTGGATTTGCATTCGCTTGGACAAAAAAATGTAATGAGATGAGAAGCCAGAAGATGAGATGAGGCTAGAAGGAAAAAGGGAAAGAAAATATGAAGGGAATGAGCAAAAATATGGAGTTGAGTCTAGATGGACTGAGGGAAAGAGAAAGCAAGAACAATGGAGGGAGAAGAACTTGGAGGAGAGGATTCTTAAACTACAATATAATTCAATAATCCAAAACCTACCTAGTTTGTTTAACAAGAGTGCCTAATGAATGAAAAAAAGCTTTCTAATACTAGCATGTAAAAACAAAGATGAGACCTTCCCAAAAAAAAAAAAAAAAAAAAAAAAATGAAAAAAGAAAGAAAGAAGAAGATGATACACGGAGATTCATGAGTTCTCGTGTTATGATATTTACAATGGAACTTTGGGGTAGTAATTGAAACGGAGATTGAGATGTTAAAAAAAGTATCGGAAAGTAAATTTGATTTTGTCTTAGGGAGATCTATTATTGATGGAAAATATAAAGAAAAGTAAAAACCTTTATATGGTATTTATAGACTTGGAAAAAGCATTCGGAGGGCTTTGAAGAAAAGAAAGGAATATAAATTTGATATGTTGATGTGATTAACTGCATGTATAGTCATAACTATGGTGAGAATATGGGACGAGAGACAAGTGAATCCCCAAGAATGATATACTTGCATCAACAATCACCATTTAGGCTTTTATATATTTTAGCATTAGTTGTGGATAGATCTCCTGCATATAAATTATAAATGTATAGGAGATATGCCAAGTGTTTCAAGCTAAAGGGGATTAAGACAGATACGTGTAGTGATTTTAGAAAAAAATAAGTGAAACTTTATGGCCGGAGATGTAAGATGTGAGCAGGGACAGAGTAACAGTGTAGCAAAACAGCAGGCCAAAAAATAGAATTTCAGTAATCATGATTAAAATATTGTCATTATTGTAAAAAACATATAGTAAAAAAGTTCAAAAATATAAAATATGAACATTAAGTTCATATATTGCACGTGCATCATATATGAGTGCAAGAAAAAAAAATTTAAGAGAGGAAATGAAATATTTAGAAGAAAATAATAAAAAAAAAATAAAAATGAAAGTAGTACTTCGATGAGGAAAATTAGGGTTTGATTGAAGAAAGTGAATGCAATTTTTTTTGAAGGATCAAAGAAATTAAAAAACGCAAAATAGTAAAAGAGAAAAGAAAGAAACAGTTGATAGATATTTTTAGAAAGGGAGAATTTTAAACTTTTTAAAAAAAAAAAATTTAAAATTACATACACTAAAGTAAATATATATATATATATATTGAAGAATCACAATTGGGTCCAAGGGGCAGCTTCAGAAATGGAGAAATTTAGGGGGTGGGGGTGCATTTTATAATTTTTTTTAAAAAATATTACATACATTAGAGTAAAAATAAATATATAGATCCAGGGATGGAGCCACATTGGGCCCATGGGAGGGCACGTCTGTCCCTGGATTTGATTGTGTGGACATGCTACAATCAATTATCCAAGCAAAAGGGATGATTGAGGAGGACTTTTTAAATAGAATTGGAGTAAGATAAGTTGGATGTAGATACTATTTTAGTGATGTGTGATCACAGAATTCATGCTTAATTTGAATGGGTAAGTTCTACAAGTCTTCTCTAAGACGAAGTATGATTTGTGATAATAGAGTGTTGGTTCTGAAAAGTATATTTGAAAAAAACTGTTGCAAACAAGGATGTTGAGATGGGTGAGTAATGTAATACGAAAAGATGGGATAAGATAGAATAAGAAACAAATGCATTCATGAAAATTATAAGTGGCCCTAACATCAGATTGAATTATAAGGGCATGATTGCATGTTGTTTAATAAATGATATGGCTTTATGAAGGGCAAACTAGAGCTGCTGGATCCATGTGACCATAACCTTATGGTTTGTTATTGACATGTCATAATTGTTTAATGCTCTTTTATTCTATGGCTAAATTACAGGAGAGAATTGATCAGTTTATTGCTAAAGTGAGGATATAAGGTTTGAGTTTGTTAACAGTGGATTTTGTGCCTTGAGTTAACATTTCTATGGTGAAAAGTTGCTGGTGAACAATTGAGCATGAGAAAGTCAAAAAAACAAGAAAGAAAATAACTAAGGGAGAGTACATTACTGGACAAGGGCATCAGACCCACACCAAACTAATATAAGCGATGTGCACTAATTTTCAAGCCTAGAAAAACATTTCATTCAACTTCAATATTATTTTGTTGCTTGCTTGTAATATGATAATGGAAAGTGGAAATGCTTCTTTTGTGAAATATGAACTTGAATATTTTACAGCATAGGACTTGTTTATAGATTATTAAGAGGACCATATAGACGCCCTTAAACCTCTTAACCAAATATGGCTTGAACTATTACTTCTACAAATAATTTTTCAGAAATCCTAGAATGACTCAACTTATCTCAATTATTATAAAAAACAATAAAACTGAGTATCAAACTATTACATACGACAGCTAGGTACTGAACAGTTGCAGTGTATGAAATTAGCAATATACGAATGACTGATGTTGCATGCAATTTTTGGGAATTGCCTTCTCTTTTTTTGGTCCTATATCATAAGGCTCGCAAGTTGCATCGAGTTTCCAGCATGTTCTTTATGTTCTTTTAATGGTTTATGGAAGAAATGACTCGTTCACATAACTGTTCAAGGTCTTAGTTTTTATTTTTAATTTTTAAATGGATAATTAGTTTTTGAAGTTGCTAATGATTGACATCACAATGCAGTGGGTTTTGCTGGTAACATTGTTTCATGCTTAAGTACTATTAAATAGAAAATACCAAGTATATATTCGTTTGAAATTGGGTTTTAGTTGTTTTGAGGCTTGGTAAATTTGAGTGTACGAATACTGAACTTTAGGCCGCATATTGAGTGTGGTTCAGCTTGACCATTTTTAATCAGGATGGATTGGCCAACATTCAGGGCAAATAGGTTTGACATTTTTGGCTTTGTACTAAACAGCCTATGCTTTGTTCAGTAGGATGGAAAAAATTGGATGGAAGGGAAGGGAGAGAAGCCGGGAGGGATGAGACATCCATAGAGAAGAGATTGTGTCCTTCCTTCTTTTTGCTCGGTTGGATGGAAGAGAAGAAGTTGACAACTTTTGTGTTCTTTGGGAGAGAAGGGAAGGGAGAGATTTAAATTGTTTTTACCATTATACCCATCTCTATTTATAGTATTGTAGTTTATGAAGGATAGTATTGTACTTTTAAACTTTAATAATAGCCCTACTTGTCTTCCCTCTTCCCTTCGGTCCACATTTGGAGGGATGAAATTTTTTGAAGGAGTAAGGATGAATCATCCTTCCTATTGTCCTTTCTCCTCTTAACTTCTCTCTATTGAACAAAGGAAGTTTGTTCCTTCCTTCTTATCTTCCCTCCACCCCTCTTCCTTCCTTCGCTACCAAACGAAGCATTAGACATGAGGTGATCGTCATAGAAAATAAACCAGAAGGCCATAACATAATCTTGATGAAATTACTAATCTTGCTTTAAGCCAAAATTTGAAAAAGGCTAATGCACAAGGCTTGGTTGTGGGACCATTGGATGGGAAGGTAAAGCTTTAGATTTGAACCTTAAGCAACCCACGCCTCCGCACAGATAGGTGAGTGATGTCTCAGGCAAGGTTGTTAAAATCGGGATTCTATGTAGGATCGTTTTGGGCTCCGTAGAATCGGAATCATAGCATCGGATCGAGAATCGTAAGATTCTACCAACTAGTAAAAAAACAATTCAAATTAACTTCTTAAACAATAATATGTGTAAAGTTTTGCAAGAATAAAGGCCAAAACACAAAAAATGTATAAAAGTTCCCTAGTGCAGTAGTAATAGTACTACTACTAACTTATAGAACAGATAACAGGAAGTAGAAAGCTAGAAACATAGAAACAGAAGTTATAGAATGGGCCAACAGGCTGAATAGCAAAAAAAAAAAAAAAAAAACAGAACAAATTATAATTTCCAAAACACAATTAATTATAATTTCAGAAAAAGAACAAAAAGGAAGTAATGAACAGAACAAATCATCGAGAAATAAAACAGAAACAAGGCATAAGGCGGTATCAGAAAACAGAACAAATTTCAGAAACATAACAAAACATTGAAAGATAAATCAGCACAATTACAGAAAGTTAGAAACGAAACAGAACAATAAAATACTTTCAGACCCAAATTTCTGATACATCATATTCCCAAAAAAGAAAAGAAAAAAAAAAAAAAAAACCTTTTTGAGTTGAGTAACTTGACCTTGAGTGATGTTAGAAGTTGATAACTGAGACGTGAGAATAAGCGGAGAAGCCTGTCGAAGAGAGTGTCAACCAGTTCCAGAAGTCTGTTGAAGATGAAGAGAGTATCGATTGACTTGATCCAGTTTGCCGTAAGACTCCGTCTTGCCTAATTGAAGCTATCCACGTCGAAGAGAAGCCATCGATATCGAAGAGAAGCTTGATACAGTTTGCCGAACAGAGAAGAGGTGACACGGGGCTTGTGTGAGACGAGAGAAGTTATTTCAGACTTGTTGCGACAGAGAAGAGATGGACTTGGGGCATGTCTGAGACATGAGAAGTGAGTTAGGGATTGTTGCTACAGAGAAGAGAGTGCTAGCAGAAAATTAGGGCTTTGCATTTATGCCTTTGAGTTGTTTGAGCATTTATATCGACTGCTTTCACTGTTTTGGGCCCTTGGGCCTTTCTTTTTTAACTTTTTTAAGAAGCTCAACACTAATACAAGTGAATAAGGCTAAACATTTAGCCAAACAAGGCATAAGACAGAATCATATGAGACTACAATTCTACTTCGATTCTACCCATATTTGTGATTTTTATGCGAGTTTACTCGTTTTTGGGTTGTGGGATCATAGAATTGTGTGATTCTACGACCCAGGGTTGCGATTTTGATAACCTTGGTCTCAGGATTAGCTTAGGAATTAGATATCTCAAGTTTCAGGCCTACTTGACATACAGTCTGTGTGTTACATGCATCTATAAGGAAGCCTTAATTCAGAAAGGTTTAGGTATACCCTGGTTGATACAAAAATATTTTAAGTCCAACTCTTGAGCACAATTTGCAATGCTATACCTTTCCGATAATAATGGTCCTTTCCAATTGGCAGCAATAATCCGAAGGTACTCTCACCATCATTTGTACCAACTTGTGTTTACAAATTTGTCCATTTTAGGGTGGTATTTGGTCCCATTTGGCCCATTCTATGTCCATCTTTTTCTAACTTCCCCCCTGGAAACAGAAAGAACCAAATTTTCATTCCTTTTGTTGCCAATATGTTGTAGATGATGAATGTGTGTTGTTCAAACCTTTTACTACTTCATTTCTCCCAACCTTTTACTTGTTTTATAACTAGGCTAGAAGACTTGTTTAATAAACTAAGAGTAAGAGAGTGATAATTATTGCCAAACAATTTTTTTGACAATGTTTTTTTTTTTTTTTAAAAAAAAAAAAAAAATATTCTGAGCTTAGTAAAGTAGTTTGTAAAGAACTATGGTTAGTAGTCTGTCAAATATTAAATCATATGAAGGCTGCATGTAGAATTAGTGGTACCAACATATGCAAAATAGTTCAGTGTAGATATATGGTTATATTTATTTGAAAAGTGCCAAATATTCAACTATTTAAAATTCGGTAACAGGCTGAAACATGATTCTATTTAGAAATGGCTTCAATTAGAACATATGATGCTTGAATGAATTTAGTTTTGTACGAAATATTCCTGTGTTTGACTCATATTCTGCTCTTGCTGAAGGTCCAGTTGAAAATGGCGGCGTCAAGGAACGAACTCATCCAATCAAACTGGATGGAAAACCTAATGGGATCCAGGATGATCATTCAAACCAGAAGGAGAACTCTTACATCACTCTTACTGGGCATAGGGCTGGTGAGGCGGCAATTGTGTATGAGCATGGGGCAGATGTTGAGGCACTAATGCCTAAGCTCCGTCACTCTGATTACTACACAGAGCCTCGAATCCAAGAACTGGCGGCGAAGGAAAGGGCTGAGCCAGGGTTCTGCCGCCGCGTAAAAGACTTTGTGGTTGGACGGCATGGCTATGGTAGTATCAAGTTCTTTGGGGAGACAGATGTAAGACGTCTTGATCTCGAGTCCCTTATCCAATTTAACAATCGGGAGGTGATTGTGTATATGGATGAGAGCAAGAAACCTCCTGTTGGACAAGGTCTCAACAAGCCAGCTGAGGTAACACTTCTTAACATAAAATGTTTTGACAAAAAGACTGGTCGTCACTATACAGATGGTCCAAAAATTGATAAATACAAGGAGATGCTTAAGAGAAAGGCGGAGGACCAAGGTGCTGAATTTGTTTCATATGACCCTATCATAGGAGAATGGAAATTCAGGGTCAACCACTTTAGCATGTATAGGCTGGGAGATGAAGACATCTGCGATATGCTTGCTGCTGCCTCCGGTTGCTGACAGATTGGGGGGCTATGGGAATGCTCAAAATGTTGGTGTCAAAAGTAATACATACTACTACTACTAATTTTTTTTTTTGGTTTTGCACTGTTGTCCTTGCGTAGCAATTACCTGGAAAGTTTTGCGTTACGAGTGTTTGTATCTTTTGCTGGCTTCTTCTGCCGTTGTGGGTCCTATTCTTTGTTCCAACATGGGTTATGCTTTTCTCTCTCATTAATTTCAACTGTTATAGAAACATATAGACTAAACTGGTTGTGTGATTGGACAGTAAACATTTGCAGTTGTTTACTCAAAACGAAAAAACTTCTTTGCTTTGTATCTCGCAAGTTTCGTTTTGCAAAGTTCGAACTATGGGCCCTTTTTTGGGTGGGGGTTGGTTGTGTGTGTGTGTGTGCGTGTGTTAGCTCGAGTATGGGAAAGAGATCATGGTTCTTTTCATTGGAGCAGAAACTTTTGATATAATGTTCAATTTATCCTTATTTGTTTTTAAATCTATTCCCTTGCTAATTAATGCTGCTCCTTTCTTTAAAATGTATTTACCACAAAGTTCCTTGAAAAACGCCTTTTACTGAACTGTATATAAAAGTCTCGGTTTCATGAACGAGTTCATTTCATAAAATTATATCTTTAAATACAAATATAAGCTTCGCTAAACGTTCAATAATACAATAATATTTTTTATTTTCGCTAACGAGTTTACATACTAATTTATGTGCCTCTGAAGTATTTCCTGTGACTCCTGGGTATCAAATTTCATTTATTTTTACTTGTATCATATACCCATTGCATATCTCAATGGATTGGTGTAATTTTTCTTGTGCTTGAACCGGTCCAGGTGCAATGTTAAACATGCTATTGTTCTAAAATGAGTTGAAGTAAATCTTAGTCCTACAAATTAATAAGTAGCAGTATGTTTGTTTGGGTTGGCTGGATGCTTAGATCCAAAATTATTTGGGCAACAAATTATTATTATTATTATCATTTGAATTATTCTGCAATTGCAAAGAAATGGCGAGTCATTTCATAAAGTGATAAAATTACAGAAGTACCCATTAATTGACAAGAATTAAAAAAAAATTGAAATAAAAATTTATCCAAAATTTAGTGAAGACTTTATGATCTACTGTTGCAATAACCTAATTTATTTTCTTATGTTTGGGCCTCAAAAATACATTTGTCTTCAAGAGAGTAATTTGGTCCATTAAAAAGGTATATATTTGTTAAAATACAATTCATTTTGTCTATTTTTAATTTTTTTTTATTTATTATTTTTTTTTAGCGAAAAAATAATGTCAGAAAGAATTTGTAAGGTTTAATAGCACCGGGCTTATTTGTTAAATTGAGTCAATTTTTTTTTTAATTTAACCCATTATTATTAGTATTTTATTTTATTTTATTTTTTTATATTTTGCCCTAAATCACATAAAATTAAAATTAATTCAAGATTGAAAGCGTGAGATGGATAAAATTAAATTATGAATAATAAAAATTTGAATCAGAACGCGGGGAGCAAAAGAGTTTGAAACGTAAGAATAAAGCAATCAAAAACGGATGGTGTCCTGATCAACATATCTATATATAATGTAGGGTTTTAGTAGGGGGCCCATTTATTCCGAATTCTTTCTGCCGCAGCCGCCATTCTTCTTCTTCTTCGTCCTCTTCTTCTCTGGACTGAAGAGAGAGAGAGAGGGGTTGGTCGGAGTGAGTGAAGATGAAGACCATACTCTCATCTGAGACGATGGACATACCAGATGGGGTGAAGATCAAAGTGCACGCCAAGGTGATAGAGGTGGAGGGTCCTCGTGGCAAGTTGATTCGCAACTTCAAACATCTCAACCTCGACTTTGAGCTCATCACCGACGAATCCACCGGCAATAGGAAGCTCAGGATCGACGCCTGGTTCGGTTCCCGCAAGACCACCGCTGCTATCCGGACGGCGCTCAGCCACGTCGACAACCTCATCACCGGCGTCACTAAGGGTTACCGCTACAAAATGCGTTTTGTATACGCTCATTTCCCTATCAACGCCAGCATCGCCAATTCTAACAGGTCTATCGAGATCCGGAACTTCCTCGGCGAGAAAAAGGTCCCTCCTTCCCTCTTCACTCTCTTTCCTATTCCTCTGAATTATAAATATATGTATATATGTATTCGTGTTCTTGAAGATGTCCTATACTTTTTGGTTCTTGGGTAAACGTGCGGGAGTGCCAATGTCCTATGCGGACTCGGTCTCATAGCCAAACTGTATTCCCTTCCCCCATTAGACTGCGATTTGAAGACTTAGGTATTGAAGAGATCATGAAAGGAGGGATTAGCTTTCCCTTTAGAGTGATGGAATGAAGATGGACGTGCAAGTGTGTTTAAGTGAATGTATTTGGAGATAGAGAGTTGCAATGGAATGTGAATTTTAAAATACAGGGCGTTACAAGCTTTGGATTTACAGGGAGAAGTGTGTTACACAAAACTAAAATAGTTTAAGAAAGAGTTAAAGAGAAAGAAAGTTGCATTGTAGTAAAGGATAGGATGAGGGTGATGAGGGAGAGATATTAAATAACATTAATGTATATAATTATTATGACTATTATACACTTAAACCATATCAGACCCTTAAGATAACCATGTCCATTTCAAATTCTGACCCTGGTAAAAAAAAAAAAAATTCACCCTAAAAACATGCCCAAGTTATTTATTTAATTTTTGAACAGTGTAGTCTTTTTCTTTTGTTATGAAAGAACATCTTATTTTTTTTGGAAGTTAAAGCAAACACACACATTAATTCCCGAATGTATCTATTCGGGTCGAAGTAAGGCAGCTTCGTCGCAGTTTCCTAACGGAATAAAGACAGGTGGAGTATTGAGTGGACAAAGAACTTGATTTGAGTGTAGAAGCCCAGCATTTTAGTGAATGTATTGCATTGGAGTTATATGGTGATTAGAGGGTAGTTTTTGGGTTAAGGCATTGTACATCGATGAAAATAGGCACTGTACATCGATGAAAATTGGTTAAATTAGTCATTTTGTACCCTCCATTAATTGCGTCAACTGACGATGTCTGACAGGGGTCTTAATGAAGATTTGCAATCCTGGGGGTATTGACAAGGGATAATATCTTTTTGGCGATATGATTAATGTGTTTCTTCACCGAATTCCCATAATAACCCTTTTTGCCCCTAAAGTTTATTTTTTCCTTTCATTGCTTGGTTTATGAACATTTATAATATTGAAAGCTAACACCTTATAAATTTAATATACCCCAAGACTTTTGTGTAGTGTTCAAAATTTATGGAGGACATAACATGGGTATGGGATGTGTCCGACACTTTTGGTTGGACATGCATCTAAAATATATATCCAATAATTCCATTTTATTATATTATTACTTCAAATCAGTCAAATGTCTATTCTGGTCACTATATTACGTAAAAATATTATTTTACTCTAAAGAATAAAATATAAATGTCAAATAAAATGAATATTTAGCTGTGTTCACGTATCTTTCTGTTCGCTTGGATACACACTTACCTATCAAATGTTATATAAAGTATATTTAGTGAAATACTTTTATATATATATATATATATATATATAATATGCATTAATATCTTCTGGCTATAAATTAATATTTTGATCCATATTACACGTTAAAGATTCAAATCAAACTACCTTTGTTTTTTTTTTTTTTTGAAAAATATATTATCTGAAGAGGCTGTGCAGCCTTTTCTTTTGGTAGGGAAGCACAATTACATACTCTCTATTCCCTAACAATGTCTCCCGCTTGGTTTTGGCTCAAATTCTCTCTCATTTTGGTGGAGATGGAGAGTGAAGAATGTGATCTCGAAACGAGTGGGAGATAATGGTGGCCCTGGTGGGGCCTTACAAATACCATCAACCTTTCATGTCGCTTTACTAGTATACTTAAACTAAGGAGATGTTGATATTGCACTCATTATCTTTCCGGATGAAACGAAGGATATGTTGACGCCGTTGACTTCAACTTTTCGGATGAAACCAAGGAGGTGGTGATAGTGTCATCATTAGCTGTTTGGGCATGGCATGGGGGCAGTGGGTAGCTAACTCAACACCCATATATATATAAATATATATTTGGACAAGGGTTCCCACACCAAAATTTAGTAATCTCCATTATCATTTCTCTGTTGTCCATCCTTTCCTCTCTCTCTACCTTTAGATCTAGATGCACAATAAATTTTCACTCATTCTATATAAAACACGTGTGCACCTCTAACTCCATTTTTTTTTTCTTACTTACCTGAAGAATTGGGTAGAGAGAGAAAGTTAAACTAAAGGAGGAAGAGAACCAAAATCCACGAGAGAGAGAGACTAAGTTACATTAGCTAGAGTTAAAGGGAAGGTACAAATAAACTAAGTTATTGGTACAACTAAGATAAAATTACAAATATGGAGCATTAGAAGATGAAAATGGAAGAGGCTTTGTTGTTGGTATGGGGGACCTCTTCTTCTGTATATAAATCTTCAATATATTGGGGTTGGAGTTAGTTCCTGGATCATGCACTCCAAAAGCTTTCATCTCCTTGGTCGATCATACAAGTAACACTACATAGCCTCTTCACAAAATTGAAAAAAGTTTGATTTGAAACCCACTTTAACATTTAATGCTTGTGATTGACATCCAGAAAAGAAAAAAAAAATACTTGTGCAATATGTCAATGAGTCATCTATTTTGCCCATTTTATTCAAAACTTTGATGTAACTATGCATTCTGTATACCTAAAATACATATTAAAGAATTATCTTTTTATTTCTGTCGGTCTGTTTTCGCGTTTTACCTGAAAAAACTTTTACTATTGGGCAAAATTAAGATTTCACTCCACTTACTTATTTGGGTGCCTGATGCTATGTTTGATGGGATGATTTGCACTAATCAAAATTAATTAATTATATATATAGAGAGAGATATAATTAGCATGTTTTTGTTGTTCATATCAGGTAAGGAAAGTTGATATGCTTGAAGGTGTGAGCATCACTCGATCTGAGAAGGTCAAGGATGAACTTATATTGGACGGAAATGATATTGAACTTGTATCCCAGTCAGCTGCTTTGATAAACCAGGTTCTCTCTCTCTCTCTGTGTGCGTGTGTGTTTACAGGGACGGACCCATGGTATACTCAGGGGGGCAATTGTCCCCCGAGTTTTTTTTCCTCACTATTTTGCCCTACTTTTTGTCTTTTTGATATATATACTTGCAAAATATTACATTGCCCCCCACCACCACCACCCAACACTTGAGTTTCTGGGTCCATCCCTGTGTGTTTACATTCACAATTTTGATTTGAGTCTTTTTTGGCGTACACATATGCACTCCATCGTCTTCTACCACGTCTTTTGCAGTGCTAACACCATCTTATCTTTGTTGCTACAGAAATGCCATGTTAAGAACAAAGATATTAGAAAATTCCTTGATGGTATCTATGTGAGCGAGAAGGGCAGAATTGCTGAGCAAGAGTGAATTCTTAATAGCTGGGGAATAATGTAGCAATTCATAGTTTTGCCAACTTGTTTTGTAGGGTTTTTTTTTTTTTTCCCTTTTTCTGAACTTTTTCCTTTTTTTTTGGGTTTTCCGGAATTTTTGGATTGTGAGATTTTGGGTTTCTGATGAGTTTTTTTTTCCCGGTTCCCTCTTAATGAATTTGATCTTTGTGGAAGTTGCTTCACGACAGTTTGTTTTGGTATGGTTCTAGCATGGATTATTTGATGGCACTTGGATATGATAATAGATGAGTTTGTGCTTCAGCCTTCAGGTCCTGTATTTGATGTCCTGCATTTTCCTACTATTGGTAACTGGTTTCATTTTGAACTTACCATCTTGAGGTGTACACGAAACCTGAGTATAAACAGACACTACTGCAGTTGAAGGTATCTTTGAAAGCCGATATTTCCTTGAGAGAACTCAAAAAACTTTTATTGGGTAAATTTCACTTACTTTCCTCGTGATTTGTTAATATCTCATATAGATCTCTTTACGTTTTCATAATCACGCTTACCTCCCCTATTTGTCAATGAAATGTTTGTCAATGGTCTTTTCAGTCATTAGAAGGTGACTTTTAACGTAAAGGGGCCATCGGTTGCCAGGCCCCAAATTTGCACATCTTCAACATTTCTGGACTAAAACTGGTCGCTAGGACTGAAGGCTTTTTTGATCAGACCATCTCTTCATCAAAATTTAGTGTGATCTCTCTTCATACAAGCCCCATTGAATATTAACACTTGGCCCATTCCCAATTCTCCATTTTATTCCTCTTCAAAAGGTTTCTTTACATTGGAGTCAGTAGCTTTATAAGGAGAAGATTAGAAAGAACAGCTCTTGAAATACCTCTCCTTCAAAAAATTTACAAAAGTATTATCACCATTTTCAAGATGATGAGTTTTTTATGCAAACATAGTCAAGTTGAATGCTCCAATTCTTTAAAGCCAAGGCCCTCATTTTTTCTTCTGATTTTAAATGATTTTTCCGGACTCCTCCACAAAAAGTTTTACATTAATTTTACTTCGAGAGCTTTTATTTTGGAGGACTTAGGAAGCTTGAAAGAGTGCACGGTAATTAGGAAGGGCTGCTATGTCTGATTTCAGTAAAACTTCTATGCCAGCCTCTGACATGAGGTTACCTTTAATAGCTTTTATTTTGGAGGATATTTTCTCAGCTATGCAATTGAAGGTGGCCAATTTGGGACCCAAATACTTGTTGATCCAATTTAAGTTGTGAATGCCAAACCTTCTTCTAATCTGTTCGACAAGGATATAAGATAAGATATGTTGCCCAATAAATTTTAGCATGTCTTATAAAATAAAAATAAAAATAAAAAATAGATTAGACCCAATTCTTAATGGGTTAAGTGGGTAAAAAACACCTAAAAAAAACCCAGTCACTTCCAAACAAACATCTTTCATCTGTCTCTTTCTTTACCCCTTTATGAAACTCTATTTCAACCTCAATTCATGTATAAAGCAAATCACCAGTTTGCTTACTCTCTTCTTCATACATAGCCTTTTGCTCAAAGGCAAGGAGAAAAAACATGAAATGACTGTTGGCGTCAAAGCTTTAAATATGCTGAGTTCTTATAAAACTCTTTCCTACTCTGTGTGTGTCTGTGATTATGCGGGAGGACGGAGAGAGAGAGAGAGTTGTTACGGAGGGAGAGAGAAACTCAAAATAGGTTTTTATTTTAGACACCCGTTAAAATAAGTTGATTCAACTTTCTATCATTGGGATATGTGTCAAAATATTATTGGGCCACATTCCATTCCATGTAGGAGGAACTTCCTTCTAAGGGATGTATTGTCCTTTTAAAAATATATCAATTGGCCTGAAAGGATTGCATATCTGTCCAGAAGAGATCTTAAATGGCAGCTTGGTGGTTATTTGCATGACAGAATAAAAGCCTGTCATCTACAAAAAAAATAAATGAGTGATGGGCTGCATCTTCTACCCAGAGATAGTCCATTAATGTGACCCATCACCTGGTGAAGAAGAATAGATAGGAGTTCGCAACCTAGTTGTAGTCTTAGGGATATTTAACGCACTTAAATTACGATTGAAACATGATTCAAGTGCTTTGAAACTAAAAAATAATGATGTTGAAAAGAGTTTTCAACACGATTAGAACGTATTTCAATACATTTATTTTATATTTTAACACACACGTATAGCATGTATATGGATGTGTTGAAATTTAAAACAAATACCTTGAAATATGATTTAAGTGCGTTGAAAATGGCTCGCTTGCAATGAGATGGGTCGATTCTCTTTAAACTAATGACGTATACAATACTTGAATTCTCGATGTAGATGCTACATAGTTGGTTCTCATCCTTCAGAGACTACGAGTGTAATAGGAGCATCCGTCGACAAAAGGATCACCCTAAGATGATCATCTCATGGCTATTGAGAACGAATCAAATCAGATGGTTCTATTTCTCAATCTTTCTGACTTGCTCCTACAGAACCAAGGTCGAAAAGATTGAAAAAATCAGTCATTTACAACCACTGATGAAGGATTCCTCGAAAAGTTAAGGATTAGTAATCCTTTTTAGAAATCGAATGGATTCGGTCTTATACATACGCGAGGAAGGTAATCAAAAAAGAACTGCAGATTTTTTGGTACATCACATTCATGCATTTACGATTCATGTGACGGTATTGATACTCCTGAAAGGTGTTCTATTTGCTCGTAGCTCCCGTTTGATACCCTCCTTGTCACAAGCATATATATTTTACAAATTATCCCAAACCCAAGTTATTAACTTGTATAAATTAAGATCTGTTGGATTCATTTAAATTCGGCCAAAATGAGATGGAAAGGAACATGGCAGAATACGAATAAAGAGTGGACGACTAATTTAAATTTCTTCTTGCTAGTTGCTATAATCTGTCATTGAGATCTATACACACATACACACACCACACATATTTTGAAAACTAGGTTTATCGTGTGCATCATGTGAACTACAAAAGTAATAGCCAGTAAATGTGAGTTTTGGCTGGTGAAAGCTTGTGGTGTGGGGCTGGCTAAATAGTGATCCCACATAAGTTTTGTTAGAAGACTCCAGAATTGGCAGTGTGTGTGGCCGGCCTTTGCGGGCTCCATTAACTTTTTTTGTTTCTCATTTATTTTTTCATCCCACTCTTTTTCTTTGACAGTTGTCGCTAATTATATATTCGGTTGTGGCCAGTTCCATACCTTGCTGGTGGATTGGCCACATACTGTAGCCAGCCACATTAGACCGATTGATGACGTTGCTAGCAATGTTTATGCGCATGGCATTGCTATCTCTAGTGAGAAAGAGTTGAGCCAAGCAAACTTGTCCTATATACAAGCAAGGGATGGTTTCCAGTGTCAAAAGAGTTGTGCCAAGCAAATTTGTTCTATATATGCAGGGGATGGTTTCTACTTTCTCAAGTGTAGAAAGAGTTGTGCTAAGAAACCTTGTTCTATATATATGCAAGGGATGGTTTATACTTTCTTGTCCACTTTGCTCATTTAAGACTTCAGTGACACTGAAGATCAAAAACTCGAGTATGAGTTGGACCTTCATTCAGCAATAATCCTGCCACTCAAAATTGATTCCAGTTCTAGCAGTTGCTTTCAAGTTTTATTTCAGCACTAATTGGCCCCTTGAAAGAGTGGTCATTATAATAAGCTCTCCACAATCGCTTGACTCCAGTTAAAGCAGTTGCTTTCAAGATCTATTTCAGCACTAATTGGCCACTTCTCTTCTCACATAAAGTCATGCATTCCTGTTCCAATGTTTGATATGTGTTCTAAGCTCATCTCTACAGTTGCTGCCACCAGGATTGGACCAACCTCACTCCTCCATCCGGTATATTCTAAAGTGAAAAACAAGAAAATAATAAACAGAATCTTAGACAGCAAAAATAAAAATTTTGACATCAAAATGTAAAATTCATATATAAGAATCATTTGAAATTTTTTGCACATGATCTACCCATCAGTTAAAAGCAAATACACCCACATAATCTCTTTTCATAGAAAAAATTTCCCAGTAGAGACTATTTGCTGGTTTTTTTTTAATTTTTTTTTTCCCTAGCATATTTCATTAGACCAAAAACAACCGACAAGAAGGGAATATCATTCCCCAAGTACAGAACAGCTTTGGAAGAACCACTTCCAAAAAACTGCAAGCAACAATAACCTCCACCCCAAAAAAAAAAAAAAAAAAAAAAAAAAAAAAAAAAAAAAATGAAAAAACCTCCACCAAACAAAAAGGAACAAGATCCCAGCAAACTAGAAACATTACCTTGCTACAATAACAACATTAATGGCTCAATCTCTTATTCTTCCACCAAACATGACTATTTGCTGGTATTTCCCTATAGTGCTTTGGTCTTGTACCAAAAGTTGATATACCTAGACTCGTCATTTCCATTTACACTACTTCAACCTCTACAGAAGACCAAAAAAAATATAAATAAATATAAATAAATAAAAAGATGCCAAAACTGAATGAGAGAGAAGTTAATTTATAATACTAGTGTCAAGACATAAACCTGAGTTTCTGACTAAAGAAGCCTGCACAATGAATTGTTACAGAACACTGAAGTTAACAGTGACCAAGTATGGAGCCTTTTTGGGTCTGGTTTTCATACAGACATCTTATGCTGGAATGATTTTGATATCTAAAGACGCGCTCAATGATGGGATGAACCCTTTGGTGTTTGTTGCTTACAGACAAGCAATTGCTTCATTTATATTGGCACCCTTTGCTTTTGCATTTGAAAGGTGACAATCTTTTAGCCTATACTTTTCAATTCCCATGGCATTTGATGCATATATTCTAACATTTTTTTTTTCCCTCTCTTTGTTCCTGTAGGAAGCAGTGTGCCTCTTTGACATTCCCCATCTTCTGCAAGATTTTCCTTCTTGCTTTATGTGGGTGAGTAGAGTTTGATATACCAGAGAACACATTAATGGCCTAATTCATTAAGTCAATAAGGAAATAGAATATAGTGAGGAAGTACCTTATTTACTTTACTTCTCCATATGTTTGGCGCATTGAAACTCTCAGGCCAACAGCAAGCTTGGATTTTTACTTCACCGGCCTCCGTTTCAGCTCAGCAACAGTTGCCAGTGCAATTTTCAATACTACTCCAATTATCACTTTTATCATATCTATCTTCTTGAGGTAAGTCTGATTAATTTCTTTTCATTAAAGTGGATTTGCCTGTTTTATTACCAATCATGAACTATTTAGGAGGTATTTATTGACATTGATGGTAATGGTTCACTGAGAAAAGACATTGATTCAATAACCAATATGTGAAAATGAGTTATATGGTTCAGTTCCTATTAATCCATTTAATCGAAGTTAAAAAACTGTAATAGGATGGAGCCCGTTGGTTGGAGCTCAATCTATGGTGGATTAAAGATCTCTGGAGTAGTCATAGCTGTTGGAGGAGCCATGGTGATTAGCTTTTATCAAGGTCCTCTACTGACACACCCTAACTGGCATGGTCATAAAGAAAGAAGTACGAGAACATTTTCCAATAACAAACTTACCAGCAGCACTATGAACTTGATTGAGGGTCCTATTCTCATCATTCTTGCTGCTATCGCTTGGTCATTATGGCTCATCATGCAGTCCAAGGTGCTCAAAGTTTATCCAGCCCAACTAAGATTGTCCACTCTGCAGTGTATTTTGAGTTCCGCGCAGTCCACTGTGGCAGCAGCAGCCTTTGCAAGGAATTTAAACTCATGGAGGATGGGGTGGAACATTCAACTTGCTTCCCTTGCATATAGTGTAAGTCTTGGTTCTCTATACTTCACTATTTCTTCCATTTTACTAGATTCTTTGACTGACACACAATTTTCTTTTGCATCATATGAAGGGTGTGCTTGTAACAGGGGTCACCTATTGGCTGCAAATTTGGTGCATAGAGAAGAAAGGACCATTCTATGTAGCCATGTTTACACCATTGCAGTTGGTTATCACGGCTGCCTTCTCAGTCATCGTATGGTCTGAGCCTTTCTACTTTGGAAGGTTGGTTAGTTTTTGTTTTAAACTCGTATCTTAACAGAAAAAAGGGATTGAGAAGCATGAGGATGCAAGTCCCAATCTGAGAAATGTCACTTCTTGTAAAATAATGCAGGGAAAAAGAAAAAAGAAAAAAAAACAAAAAACAAAAAAGGACACTCAAGAAATTCTGTGTGTTTAGTGGTTTCTCATTGTTAATGTGGTTGGTGACAGTTTATTAGGTGGAATTCTAATTGTTGGAGGCCTTTACTGTGTCCTGTGGGGAAAGAGAAGGGAAGGCAAGCAACTGATGCTCAAAAGTGAACCACCTGAAGTGAAGGCCCATGATGTTGAAAGAAGATGCTAATTGATTCTTGCTTGTGTGTGAGTGAAAGTGTGTGCAGACATGCTCTTTCACATGCGGGGGAAACTGTTATTCATGTTTGAAACTCTCTGCCATTTAAGTTCAATTAGAATAAAGGTTTTCCTTGTATTTCAAAATATGTGACATTTTATTTGTAATCCTATATATTTCAGCCCTGTTGTTTATTGTTCCATGCATTGGCTCAAGGATGCATTTTATCATCTCTTCACCATGTCATCAAAGGAAAAAGTTGTGAGTGAAAGCAAGAAAATGAAGGAAATGGAAAATTTGTAGGCACTTTAGAAGTTAGGTTAGCAGGAAAAGAGAAATTTTGAAGGAAAAATTACTCTTCATAACCACCTAACTTTCCAATAAAATTTTTCTATTTCTTGATAAAGTTTTATGAACATACAATAATGTCCTTTCTTTTATGCTAAGTTTCATGCTATTCAAAGCCATAAAATGGTAGTTTTTCATAATTTTTTTGAAAAAAGTTTCATGCTAATCAAATACGTGATGTAAAATTATTTTCCTTTCATTTACTTCATATTCTTTTACTCTCACATTGTTAATTTCTATTCAACCAAAAGGAGCATGAAGGAAAGACAAAAGGCAAAAAAAAAAATGAGCCAGTTTTTTTTTTTTTTTTTGTGCATCCATACCCATGAAAGCACCCCATGTTAGACTCGCTCATCACTAAATAAAGATGCAAACTAGCCCCTATTGGTTTCCTGTACTAGCCCCTATTGGTTTCCTGTCTTTTCTCCTCATGATTGAGAGGATATGCTCACAGTGAGAGTTTGACTTACTCATCACTAAATATGGATGCGTAGTGACCTCATTTTTCCTTATAAACTTTTTTCTCATGTGTTCATTTCAAATGCACAGTCTCTTACTCCACCATAGACTATGTCCCCAAGGCAATAATTGAAGGCCTATCATATTCAAACCATTTTAATTGATAAATCTGAGAGGCACCAATCTTAGGAAACTTTGGATTCCAGAAATGGAACAGAACATATTCCATCGAGGAACTAAAATCACCTAGTTATCACAAGGTTCTGCTACATGAAAAATGAAACTGTAATCATAAAAGTAAACACATATCTTATTGTAACATAACTATGACTCAAAGAAATAAATACTTGTATAAAAGTCCTTGTTTATGTTTGACTAGTAAGCTTTTTGAATGCTGCTATTCTAAGTTTTCAGTAAGTGGAAACAACCTAATGCCTTTTGGATCCGATGTGGAACAAACCTTCCACCGGAACTCGCATGGCGTGACTTTAGGTCAAGGATTGGGTCTACCTCTGATACCAACTGTAACGAACGGGTGCTTCGCGATTCGACCCAAAAAGCTTAAGTTATTAGGTGGGTCTAATACCCAACCCAATACCATTGCGTTTCCATCCCGATCGGATGTGGGACAAAGCTCTAACAATAGTTCACAAAAGGAAACATCACACAACTCAAAGACTCCGGACTTCTGAGATAAAATACTGATGGTCCACAACACAGAGAGAGAGAGAGAGAGAGTTTTTTTTTCTGGAATAGCATATGATAAATTTACAAATAGCCCTGATAGGTTTGTTGGTCATTGTAGTCCTACTGTGATCTCTTCAACTTTTGAAGCAATAACTACATCATCTTCAGCAACAACATTACAACCGTGGCAACAGCTGCAACAGTTGCTTCAGCGACACCAGCGAGCAGAAGCAACAGAGAGTTCTCCAGCATCCATTGCCTCGGCAGCACCAATCAGCACGCTTGATAGTGCAGAAGCTGAAGTCTGATCTTTCAACTTTTGGTGTAATTACTACATCATTGCCAGTAACAGCATTACAGCCACAGCAGAAGCTGCAGCAAGCAGAATCAACAGGCAATTCCCCAGCAACTATTGCCTCAGCAGCACCAAGGAGCACATTCAATAGTTCGGAAGCTGAAGTGAAGTTAAAATGCTGCTGGTGCTGCATGGAGTAGCCTCATGCACCTTTCTTTCACCTTCTTAAGAAGGTGTTATGTCAATGTCCAAGCTTTCACACCTTCAGAGTATTAATTGTATCAAGCCAGATCAAATCATCACCAAGAAAAGCGTGTAAATAAAATAAAACAAAACAGGCAGCTGAGCTCATGATCATCTAGTTTCCTATACAGAACCAAATTATGGCTAACTAAACCTCCCGTGATAATTTAAACCACATAGCTCTGTAAAGTTACATTAGCATGAAATAACATAGATTATTGTAGACAACATTACACTCAGAAGCCAACCACAAGAAAAAAAAAAAATAAACTCTTCAGATTTTCTTCAGTCAAATTGACAGATAATTCGGAAAGAAACCACTTCCTTCACTTGACAAAGCAGATATTTATTGATAACAATAACTGGATACAAGATACCAAGGTTTGTTCCTAAACACTCTTCGGTAGAAGTGAAATGCTGAGGATTGCTAAATATTATCTGCTGCACATTCTGACTTGAATTCACATAAACTGATTGATGTGTATATTGGAAAGGAAAGGACACTTTTTCCTTCTATGATTTCACTTGAGGGAGTTCTCAATATCAATCACAAACCGATACTTCACATCCCTCTTTATTAGCCTCTCAAGAGCTTCATTTGCATACTGAATTGGAATAACTTCTATCTCTGGGTAAATTTTTCTGGCAGCACAGAAGTCCAACAATTCTTGTGTCAGTTTCGTACCACCTGTTACACTCCCAGAAATGGTTTTCATACCTGCAATAAGTCAATTACAGCAGTTTAAATTCTACAACAAAGTACCGCTGCTTTCAGAAACAAATGTAGATGTATTAATTGCAGAAACTCTTCAATGTTCGCAAATTGTCAATACTATACCCAATATAAGGCTTGCTGGACTGAATTTCACTACACTAGGGAACCCCACCAAGACAAAAATACCAGCAGTCTTCAACAGCGACATGTATGGATCAAATGGGATATCGCCGGATGCAGTGTTAATTATGAAATCAAGAGACTTTGCCAGAGCCTGTGACAAGAAAATGGCCATCAAGTTTATAATAATCCAATGATTGAGTCATCATTTTCAATTTCACTTATGTGATGAATGCAAAATATGAACCAAAGGCAAATGGAACCCTACCGTCATCTGCTGTTCATCAGACGTGAGCACAAATTTGTCTGCTCCAAGCAGCTTGAGGGATTCCTCTTTCTTGGATATACTTGTGCTGAGAACTGTTACATTCAATCCAAAAGCCTTCCCGAACTTCACTGCCAAATGACCAAGACCACCAAGCCCAATCACCCCTAGAGACTTACCTGGTTGGTTCATGTTATGGCGCATCATGGGAGTGTAGACAGTAATTCCGGCACATAGCAAAGGTGCCGCTAAAGCGGGTGGATAATTCTCAGGTATTCTGAAGCAGTATCTGAAGATAAGAGTAATATAGAGTTACTTTACAAAGAAAAGGAAAGGGTGATTACAATTTTAAGTAATAAAAATACTCACCTTTCATGAACAACAATATAACTGGAATATCCTCCCTTAGTGATAGTACCATCCGCATCAATACCGTCAAAAGTAAGGACTGCACCCTTTGAGCAATGAACTTCTAGCCCATCATCACAATACTCACATTCTCTACATGAGTTAACATAAGTTCCCACGGCAACATGGTCACCAACTTTGAAGCGCTGAACATTGGAGCCAACCTCTCTAACAATTCCAGCAATCTCATGTCTGGCAAGTGAAAAAAAGAACATCATAAATACATCAGTTTAAATGAAATAAGAAAATATCCACATACCAATTATGAAAGAGAAGCCACATACCCAGGCACTAAAGGATACTTTGAGTGTCCAAGTTCATTCCTAGTCCATTTAACATCAGCATAACAAACTCCACAATGTGTGATATTTAGCGAAATATCGTCACTTCCAACAACCCTGAATAAAATTGCTCAAATGAGTTGGTGAATAATTCTAAAGAAGATTATACTTGAAATTAACATATCATCAAGTCAAAAGTTAAAACATAATGCTAAACCTAATCTAAAGTTTTTCCTGATTATAAGGAAATTAATTTTTTAGAGGCATAAAAATTCAAGAAAATTACTGATTAGTGCAACTGTTCAATTGCAAAGACCAATAAGTTCTAAGTAATTTTGTTAGAACAATATAGTCCTACTTTTAATATATATTTCAAACTAAGTTCGGGACTTCATTAGCAATGAATCTCTTATCAGTATCGCCTTTCTTATTGAAATACCTTTTTTTTAAAAATAATAATAATAAATATAGTCAACACTGAACATCAATTTGAGACAATCTAGAGACTGAACATCCAAATCTTTGAGGTTCAGATAAAGGAAAGATGAGGGGGAGTACCATTAAAGATATATTTATTTGATTTAAGGCCACTGATATAAAAAGCTAAACTGATGATTGTTGCCAAATAAATTAGAGTAAATCTTCTAAGTGCATACTTTTTGGTTGAATTTCATTGCCATTCCAGCAGAATGGAATGGCTGATAACATAAGGAGGCAGTTAAATTTCCTCTTCCTTTTGGTGTTGACCAATGGGCACCGACTGAGAGTAATCATAAAAAGTAAGGACAATTTTTTTGCCAAATATAATTCATTTACTGTCTCACACTCACAGTACACAGAAACCTGTCTTACTTTCGTACAAAAAAATAAGAAAAGGGCAATACTGTATAATTTGTTACTTCATGAATATAATGTATAGGATTTTTCTAAACATGTTACAACAAGTTTTACTACAAATAGTGAAATTTAAATAATTTGTTGAAATATTCTAGAATATTGCTAAGTTGGTATCAATTCTAACTACGTGCTTTGTCATTGTTACCAGTAACAAAATTAAGAGGTAAAGGATGTTAGATTTTAATAAGAAAAAGGACCTTGATGTTATTTCAATAAGAAAGGGCAATACACTACTGTTAATGGAGTAAGAAACTAAGTTGAAATTATTTATTAAAAGTTGGACTTTCTTATTTTAATAAAATTTCACAGGACTTATCGATTCTTGCATTTGAAAGTAGGACTAACCAGTAAATTTTCCTAAAATATGGTAACACATTCAAGTAAATTCCAGCCCACAGTTTCTTCAAACAGGCTAAAAATATATGAAATTTTTTTTACTCCAAATATTGGAGAAAATGCTTCACAATGAGTGCATCCAAAAAATCAAATTATAGCTATATTCCTTTTCATTTTCACATTTATCTTCCAGAATAGTTCTTCACCTCTTGTGCCTCTGGTATAGTTTTGATGGTGAATGAAAGTAACATGATACTTTTTTGAGGTTTGAGCATATATGTAACTGAACACGTGCAGGACCACCTTCACTCTTACAAAAGAAAATGTGTTATCCATACCTTCGGCTGAACTTATAAGGTGATAGAAATCCAGATGGATCTCTCGCGGCCCATCCCAGACAGTCCTCATTTGGACTTTTGGAACTCATCCCGTCTAGTCTGTCGACCGTGAAGCAATATGGCATTATATATATATATTCAATTATAACAAAATGAAGAACTATGATTCTATTAACATTATAGCACATGACTGTCTCTTCATGAATGTGATGCCAGGACAGGATGATATTAAAGACTACAAGCAATTGCTGATGAATAACAACATTGAGAAAGTAATACACACACTAGACATAGCATAAGCTACTCTGTTCTAAAATGCAAGTAAAATTGATATTAAAACCACAAACCCTTACAGGACAGGGAAATGCTGAACTGGAGGATTTAATCGGACGTGCACTAAAATCAACAGTGAAGACCCTATTTAATAAATAGAAGTCATTTCCTTATATATATATGTGTGTGTGTGTGTGTGTGTTTTGCATGAAATTTTAAATTATAAAAAAAAAAAAAAAAAAAAAAAAAATTTCATCTTCAAGTTATTGGTTGTCAATTCCCCCTTTTCAACAAATATATATAGAAGTATAAATTTCCATTTCAGAAGGGTATAAGAGATCCAAGACAATAAATTTAACAAACTGACAAATGAAAAAATACAAGAAATTTTTTTCTTTGCTAGGAAGCCATTATCATTTTGTAAAATAAAATAGCATTTAGGGTATTGTAAAAATTTACAGGTTACCCCCACCTACTAAATTTTTAGCATATAACCACCCTGAAATACCAAAAGTTTTGCATGACACCCCTTTTAGTCAAGTGATCATCATAAACTATTGGGATTTGCAGAAAACCCTCTTGAACTAGTAAAACTTGGCATGAATTAATCTTAAGGGCAATTCAATAATTTCAAGACTCATGTAACAGCCGCCACATATCACCCATTAGGCTGTTAGAGTTGAAGTCTTGAAGAGGAATTGGAAGGTACAATCAACAACATTAGATACAGGAAATGACCATCTAAAGCTGACAAACATATCACAGACAGTACTCCAAATATTATAGAAATTCAGCACATACAAAAAGTGAAACGAGAATATCTGTCGGAGGATTTAGAGGCTTACCCAGATCGATCGGCAGAGAGAGAGAGAGAGAGAGAGAGATAGAGCTTGAAGCTGAGTGAGGACTGAGGTTCCGAGAAGGCAGAGAGATACCCGTGAAGTGAAATCTTCAATGGGAGAAGGGGATATTTATATGAATAACTCCGCGAACCTCTCCTCTCTCAGACCCAATCAACCAAAAGTTCATTAATCCAATCCCAAAAACCAACCTCAAAGAGTCAAAGTACACCTATGCAGTGACGTAGAAATTCAGTTGAGGGTAAAAAAAATAAAAATAAAGAAAATAATAATCTTAAAAATTTAATATTGACCGAGAATATTTTTGTTTATTATATTTCCCATTATTGTTGTTGATGATTTAAGTAACACAATTATACAAAAACAAAACAAATTCAAATGTGTTGTATCAAGGTTGTTTTTGTTTTTTTAGGGAAGGGGTATGGTTTTTCCCCGCAAGTATAGTGACAATGCAGTTATAAAATTTATGTAGTATTTAATAATCTGAAAAACAATTCTTGTAAGAAAATTTTAAAAACATAAAATAGATATATTAAGGGTTTTCTTTGCAACAAATTTTATTTTGCATTTTAGATTCCATATGGAGAAGGAATAATAATCCTTTTTTTGTGTCATTTATTTTGAAACAAAAACATGTTGTGTAATTCATTTGTTGCATAATATATCATAAAAAAAATGTAAAATTATTTTTAAAAATGGTAATTATATTGATTTTTTTTTAAAAAAAAATCATTATAATTGTTCAACTACAATAACAAAAACAAAAAAATGAAGAAAAAAGAATAAGAAAATAAAAAGAAAACAAATATGAGAACTTTGAAGATATGAATTTGATTGTTTGATTGAATATAGGGACTGCAATTTTTTTTAAAGAATAAAAAATATATTTATTGGAGAGAATGAATAAGAATGAAAAGAAAGATAAATTTTAAGAAATTTTTAGAAAAAACTAATTTCATGAGGGCACTATTTAATATTTTGTAAAGTGTATATCTAACTATAATATAAAATTAGTGAGGCACCTTATTCCCTATGTTATTTACAACTTTTCCACAAGTCAAATTAGTTTTTTTTTTTTTTTTTTTTAATCACAAGTCAAATTAGTTGAACTCGCCAAATCTAAAAAGGTATCGCTTGCAACAATTAAAAACTACTAATGAATGAAACTTATTTTTACAAATCAAAACCTAATTGATAATTAAATTAAACCGGATAAATAAGAAAAAAAGCCCGGTTTACAATATTGGTCCTTGCATTTTTATAATGGATGTACATTCATAATTTTCATATATTATAAACAATAAAAGAGAAGTAAAATACAGCTCAAATATAGCCCCATAACATAGAAAAATAGAGCATTAAAGATAAATAATATATGAAGTGTTCAGTATCAAAGAGATTAAATTGGAGGGTAAAAGTTAGAAGTTGGATAAGTGTTAGAATTCTAAAATTTTCTGTGCACAAAATGAAAATTATAACAAATTTGGGGAGTTTTAAGTTTTTTTTTTTTTTTTTTTTTCGGTAAATAAAATTACAATTTTAAGTTCTACATATACAATACATATATGCACATATAATTTGACCCCAACGCGTACTTTACTTAGGCAGTGACTTCATTGGGTTGGGTTGTTGATGACTTTATTTTATAATATTATTAATGGCAGTCTTTCACCGTTGTTGTTGTTTTTTTTTTTTTTTTTATATTTTATATTTTTATTTTAAATTTTATTATTATTATTTTTTACAAGGTAAGAATAGGACTGCAAGTTGGGCTGACCCAACCCAACCCAATCTCAACCCGAATTGGGTTGGGTTAGGTTGGGCGAACCCAAATTGTATCTAACATGGGTTATAGTCAAAACCTAGCCCGAATGTTTTTGGGCCGGTCGGGTCAAGTTGACGGGTTGAGTTTTTAAAATTTATTTATATATTTTTTTCCCGAATATATATATATTATATAGATATATATATATCTATATATTATTAAAAAACAAAAAAAATTTAGGGCAAATCATTTCAGCCTCCCCAATCGTCCAGTCTCATTCTCAACTCTCTCTCTCTCTGCACCTTCAAACTACAAAATCTACAAGAATCAAAAGTTCAAAACCCATATATTTCAGATCTGTGTGCAAGAATCAAAAGTTCAAAACCCATATATTTCAGATCATTTCAGATTGTTCAAAAAATCAAAACCCATATGTTTCAGTTTCCATCGCCGGCTGTTCCAGTTCGGGTTTGCCGTTCGCAAGCTTCAGCCGCTGTCTCTCAACTCTCAAGCTTGCCCCCCCCCCTCTCTCTGCAATTGCTAACTTGTATGCATGGGTTTTGTTTTAATTTTTGGAAGTGACGGCAGCGGTGGTGGATCGGCTGAGGGACGTCGGGAGAGAGAGAGAGAAAGAGAAAGAAGAGAAAAGAGAAAAAAAAAAAAAAAAAAAGAAAAAATTCGGGCAGAGAGAGAAAGAGAAAGAGAAAGAAGAGAGAGGAGAGGGAAAAAAATTCGAGGAGGAGAGAGAAAAGAGAAAGAAGAGAGAGAGGAGAGAGAAAAGAGAAAAAAAAAAAAATTAATTTTGGGTTTTGGGTTGGGTTTGGGTTGAGCCCGAGCCCAACCTGAATTGTTTGAGTTTTGATTAAACTCAACCCGAACATAAACCCGATTTGTGAATTGTGTGTCCAAATTTCAAAATTTCTGGGTTGGGGTTGGGCTGGGCTAGGCTAGCCCGTCCAACTTGTAGCCTTAGGTAAGAAGGTTTAGGTCATCTGCATTAGTCTCTTCAAATTTTGACTCTTTAAAAATACCACTTCAGCTTTTTTAAGAGTCACATCAACAATTTCAAGAATTACGTCAGCAGCTTTCGCTTTCCAAAAACAAAAACAAAAAAATTAATTTTTTTTTGTTTTTTAAACTTTTCTTAAACGACTATATTTCTAACTGTTAAATTCCTAACGGCTATATTTTTAACAACTATATTTTTCATCTTATATAATGAATACTTATTTGCTCATATGAAAATCATCACTACATTCATTTCTCTCCATTGTAACAAAATATCATTATCTATCTTTTTCAAATTTGAAATTCCAATGGCTTCGTCATTACAAGTTTTTCCTTTGACAGACTCTAATTCTTCATCTTCTTCGTCATGCTCTTCGGAAGATGACTCTATTGCCGCATTGATTCAACAGAATCAAGACGAATTTTATGAGATTATGAATTCAGTGAGGACAGAGATAGTTGAGCAAGTATTTCAAGTCCGTAATAAGAAGCGGTACATTCATCATGACCGAGAGAGAAGCCACTATCAGTTAATGAAAGACTACTTTGACAAGAATTGCACATATCCATCAGAGTACTTTCATAGGCGATTCAGGATGCGACGAGAACTTTTTCGTCGTATCCTTAATGATATTAAAGCTTATGATGACTACTTTGTCCAAAAAAAGAATGCGACTGGTCGTCTGGGTTTATCCTCTATACAGAAGATGACAACTGTTATTCGTATACTCGCATATAGTTGTGCAATCGATCACTATGATGAGTATATTAAAATCGGCGAGAACACTGCCATTAAATGCTTGAAGGCATTTTGTAATGCTATTATTGTTGTGTATGCAGAGGAGTATATGCGCCCACCCAATGAAGCCGACATAACACGGCTGCTTGAAGAAAGGGAGCAGAAAATATTCCCGAGTATGCTTGGTTCTATCGACTGTATGCACTGGAGTGAAAGAATTGCTCAATGGAGTGGCACGTCACACATAGGGGACGCTCTAATAAGAATACTCTCATATTGGAAACAGTTGCCTCATAAGATTTGAGGATCTGGCATGCATTCTTTGGAATGCTGGGTTCACATAATGATATAAATGTGTTCGATCATTCCCCGGTATTCAACGGTATCATCAATGGCCAATTACCTCCGATTAATTATGTAGTGAATGGATATCACTATAGAATGGTGTATTACCTGTCTGATGGTATATGCCCTACGTGAGCAACTTTGATGCAGACCATCCCGCACCCAACCACTGGAAAAGAAAAATTGTTTGCTCAGAGACAAGAGGCATGTAGAAAAGATGTGAAACGGGTATTTGGAGTATTGCAAATTAAGTGGGCAATAACACAAGGATCAGTGCGTTACTGGGAGAAAGATGACTTGCACCTCATAATGAAAATGTGCATCATCCTTCACAATATGATCATTGAAGATGAGCGTCATGAATGTTGGAAGATGGACTCCGCCACCAGAGGATGCAATCCCGATTCCCACTTTAAGTCGATGCGCATCGGTTTTAGCGACACACATATTCTCTCGCCAACTTCAGTTTCGCAACAAAGAGACAAATATAAGGCTTGCTGGACTGAATTTCACTACACTAGGGAACCCCACCAAGACAAAAATACCAGCAGTCTTCAACAGCGACATGTATGGATCAAATGGGATATCGCCGGAAGCAGTGTTAATTATGAAGTCAAGAGACTTTGCCAGAGCCTGTGACAAGAAAATGGCCATCACGTTTATAATAACCCAATGATTGAGTCATCATTTTCAATTTCACTTTTGTGATGAATGCAAAATATGAACCAAAGGCAAATGGAACCCTACCGTCATCTGCTGTTCATCAGACGTGAGAACAAATTTGTCTGCTCCAAGCAGCTTGAGGGATTCCTCTTTCTTGGATATACTTGTGCTGAGAACTGTTACATTCAATCCAAAAGCCTTCCCGAACTTCACTGCCAAATGACCAAGACCACCGAGCCCAATCACCCCTAGAGACTTACCAGGTTGGTTCATGTTATGGCGCATCATGGGAGTGTAGACAGTAATTCCGGCACATAGCAAAGGTGCTGCTAAAGCGGGTGGATAATTCTCAGGTATCCTGAAGCAGTATCTGCAGATAAGAGTAATATAGAGTTACTTTACAAAGAAAAGGAAAAGGTGATTACAATTTTAAGCAATAAAAATACTCACCTTTCATGAACAACAATATAACTGGAATATCCTCCCTTAGTGATAGTACCATCCGCATCAATACCGTCAAAAGTATAGACTGCACCCTTTGAGCAATGAACTTCTAACCCATCATTACAATACTCACATTCTCTACATGAGTTAACATAAGTTCCCACGGCAACATGGTCACCAACTTTGAAGCGCTGAACATTGGAGCCAACCTCTCTAACAATTCCAGCAATCTCATGTCTGGTAAGTGAAAAAAAGAACATCATAAATACATCAGTTTAAATGAAATAAGAAAATATCCACATACCAATTATGAAAGAGAAGCCACATACCCAGGCACTAAAGGATACTTTGAGTTTCCAAGTGCATTCCTAGTCCAGCCAACATCAGCATAACAAACTCCACAATGTGTGATATTTAGCGAAATATCGTCACTTCCAACAACCCTGAATAAAATTGCTCAATGAGTTGGTGAATAATTCTAAAGAAGATTATACTTGAAATTAACATATAATCAAGTCAAAAGTTAAAACATAATGCTAAACCTAACCTAAAGTTTTTCCTAATTATAAGGAAATTAAGTTTTTAGAGACATAAAAATTCAAGAAAATTACTGATTAGTGCTACTTTTCAATTGCAAAGATCAATAAGTTCTACGTAATTTTGTTAGGACAATATAGTCCTACTTTTAATATATATTTCAAACTAAGTTCAGGACTTCATTAGCAATGAATCTTTTATCAGTATCGCCTTTCTTACTGAAATACCTTTTTTTTTAAAAAAGAATTTAATAAATATAGTCAACACTGAACATCAAGTTGAGACAATCTAGAGACTGAACATCCAAATCTTTGCGGTTCACATAAAGGAAAGATGAGGGGGAGTACCATTAAAGATATATTTATTTGATTTGAGGCCACTGATATAAAAAGCTAAACTGGTGATAGTCGCCAAATAAATTAGAGTAAATCTTCTAAGTGCGTACTTTTTGGTTGAATTTCATTGCCATTTTAACATAAGGAGTCAGTTGAATTTCCTCTTCCTTTTGGTGTTGACCAATGGGCACCGACTGAGAGCAATCACAAAAAGTAAGGGCAATTTTTTTCTCAAATATAATTCATTTACTGTCTCACACTCACAGTACACAGAAACCTGTCTTACTTTCGTACCAAAAAATAAGAAAAGGGCAATACTATATAATTTGTTACTTCATGAATATAATGTATAGGATTTTCTAAACATGTTACAACAAGTTTAACTACAAATAGTGAAATTTAAATAATTTGTTGAAATATTCTAGAATATTGCTAAGTTGGTATCAATTCTAACTACGTGCTTTGTCATTGTTACCAGTAACAAAATTAAGAGGTAAAGGATGTTAGATTTTAATAAGTAAAAGGACCTTAAAGTTATTTCAATAAGAAAGGGCAATACACTACTGCTAATGGAGTAACAAACAAAGTTGAAATTATTTATTAAAAGTTGGACTTTCTTATTTTAATAAAATTTCACCGGACTTATGGATCCTTGCATTTGAAAGTAGGACTAACCAGTAGGTTTTCCTAAAATATGGTAACACATTCAAGTAAATTCCAGCCTACAGTTTCTTCTAACAGGCTAAAAAAATATGATTTTTTTTTTTTTATTCCAAATATTGGAGAAAATGCTTCTAAATGAGTGCATCCAAAAAATAAAATTATAGCCATATTCCTTTTCAATTTCACATTTATCTTCCAGAATAGTTCTTCACCCCTTGTGCCTCTGGTATCGTTTTGATGGTGAATGAAATTAACATGATACTTTTTTGAGGTGTGAGCATATATGTAACCGAACACGTGCAGGACCGCCTTCACCCTTACAAAAGAAAATGTGTTATCCATACCTTCGGCTGAACTTATAAGGTGATAGAAATCCAGATGGATCTCTCGCGGCCCATCCCAGACAGTCCTCATTTGCACTTTTGGAACTCATCCCGTCCGTCTAGTCTGTTGACCATGAAACAATATGGCATCAATATATATATATATATATATAACAAAATGAAGCACTATTGGGATTTGCACTATTAGGCTGTTGGAGTTGAAGAGGCAAAATTTCATTCGAGCGAGTAAGGAATTGGAAGGTACAATCAACAACATTAGAGACAGGAAATGACCATCTAAAGCTCACAACATATGACAGACACTACTTCAAATACTATAGAAATTCAGCACATAACATAAAAAATACAAAAAGTGAAACGACAATATCTGTCGGAGGATTTAGAGGCTTACCCAGATCGATCAATATCAGAAAAAAGCAGAGAGAGAGCTTGAAGCTGAGTGAGGCTCCGAGAAGGCAGAAAGATACCCGTGAAGGGAAATCTTTAATGGGAAAAGGGTTATTTATAGGAATAATTCCGCCAAGCACTCCTCCCTTGGACCCAATTCATAATTATACAATCCCAAAAGTCAACCTCAAAGTACACCTATGCAGTGACGTAGAAATTCAGTGGACGGTAAAAAAAAAAAATTTAATAAACAAAATAATAATCATAAAAATTTAATATTTATTGAGAATATTTTTGTTTATTATATTTACCATTTATTGTTGTTCATGATTTAAGTAATACAATTATACAAAAACAAAACAAATTCAAATGCGTTGTACCGTATTAAGGTTCGTTTTTGTTTTTTTTAAGGAAGGGGGTATGGTTTTTTCCCCGCAAGTCTAGTGACAATGCAGTAATAAAATTCATATAGTATTTAATAATCTGAAAAACAATTGTGGTAAGAAAAATTTAAAAACATAAAATAGATATATTAAGGGTTTTTTGCAACAAATTTTATTTTGCATTTTTTATTCCACATGGAGAAGAAATGATAACTTTTTTTTGTGATTTATTTCTGAACAAAAACATGTTGTGTAACTAATTTGTTGCATTATACTCAATATATCATTAGAAATGTAAAATTATTTTAAAAAATGGTAATTATTTTGATTTTTTTAATTATAATTGTTCAACTACAATAACAAAAACAAGTGAAGAAAAAAGAAAAACATAGAATAAGAAGAAAAAAAAAAAAGAAAAAAAAAATGAGAACTTTGAAGGGAAAAAAATATGATTTTGATTGAATATAGGGAATGCAATTTTTTTTAAAAGAATAAAAAATATATTTATTGAAGAAAATGAATAATAATGAAAAGAAAGATAAATTTTTAGAAATTTTTAGAAAAAACTAATTTCAGGAGGGCACTATTTATTTTTTTCTAAATTATATATCTAACCATAATATTAAATTAGCGAGGCCAGCATTGCGCCTGTGTATCCCTCATTCCATCTTGCAAGGAATGTTATTAGCAATTTTTCCACAAGTCAAATTAGTTTTTTTTTTTTTTTTTTTTTTTTTTTCAATCACAAGAAAAATTAACTTTTTTTGTAAATTATATATCAAACTATAAAATTAAATTAGTGAGGCCAGCATTGCGCCAGTGTATCCCTCATTCCCTCTTGCAACGAATGTTATTAACAATTTTTCCACAAGTCAAATTAATTCTTTTTTTAGTTTTTTTTTTTTTTCAATCACAAGACAAATTAGTTGAACTCGCCAAATCTAAAAAGGTATCGCTTGCAATAATTAAAAATTATTAATGAATGAAACTTATTTTTACAAATCAAAACCTAATTGATAATTAAATTAAACTAAATAAATAAGAAAAATGCGATGTTTACAATATTGGTCCTTGTATTTTTATAATGGATGTACATTCATAATTTTCATATATTATAAACAATAAAAGAGAAATAAACAATTATACAACTCAAATATAGTCCCATAAGACCATCTCCAACGCAAAATGTCATTTCAAATTGCCAAATTTATATTTTGAGATGAGTTACAGTGTCAAAATGTTATATTTTAACAATTCTGCTCCAATAATACATTTCATCCAAAATATTATATTTTAACAATTCTCAGCCTCCATTGAACCAAGCCCAACCCACTCTAGCTTCCTCAATCCTACTTTAACTCTGACTCTTAAGCACCGTTGATTTCAAAATTACCTTTCCATTTTAACCATTCATTGCATTCTGTCCCACATAATATTTTTAGGGCAAATCATTTCAGCATCCCCAATCGCCTCCATCTTTATTCTCGTTCTCGACTCTGAACTTGCTCTCTCTCTCTCTGCAACTGCAAACTACAAAATTTACAAGAATGAGAAGTTCAAAACCCATATATTTCAATTTATTTATCTATTCGCAAGAATCAAAAGTTCAAAATCCATATCGGCATATCATTTCAGATTGTTCAAAAAATCAAAACCCATATCGACATATCATTTCTGATTGTTCAAAAAATCAAAACCCATATGTTTCAGTTTCAATCGCCCGCTGTTCCAGTTCTGGTTCGCCATTCGAAAGCTTCTGCCGTTGTCTCTCAACTCTCAAGCTTGCCCCCCTTTCTCTCTACAACTACTAACTTGTATGTATGGGGTTTTAAAAATAATTTTGAGGTAATCACTGTAATCTAATTTTGAAAATTGTGAATCATTAAGATACATATACATGTATTGTATATATAACAACACTTACACGACTGATTTCAAATTGAGGATTTCAAGAAATGGGAAATTGGAGGATTAAATTACAACTAGAAACAATAAGGAAAACTCAATTTATTATATCATTATTTTATGCACCAAAATAAGCTTGTAGGCTGTGATGATGGCTTTTCCCAAACTGCTTCTTCATTTCTTCATGCCACCTTTCTGACCACTTCACATATCAACCACTTCTTCACATTTTCTTCCTAACTCTATTTCAACCACTTCTTCACTTTTTCTTTTCTTCTCTTCTTTCTCTATCTCTTTTCTTCTTTCTTCACGTGCACATTATTTCTCTTGTTGCAATTGACTTTTGTTTTTTTTATTTTCTTCTTTTCTTTTATTTTCTTCTTTCTCTCTCCTCATTTCTCTTCTTCACTTATTTTTCATTTTTATTTCTTTTCTTCTCATTCATGCATTAATACCTACAAAACACAAAACAAACATATAAGAATATTTAAATAATATAAAAGTCAAATTAAAAACTTATTTTGGTGCATAAAATAATAAGTTTTGTGTACTTATCAAACTTTTAATTACTTATTAAAATACCAATTATAGGTTTTGTATACTTATCAAACTTATTTGAAAAGCCATCATCAAAGCCTACAAGTGGGTTGCTTCCTTTGCCTATAAATTTTACACTTCAGAAACAAAGTTAGATAGTGTAGAGATAGAGATAGAGATAGATAGAATGATATAATAGATTGAATTTTCCTTATTGTTTCTAGTTGTAATTTTCTTCTCAATGCATTGTTATTTTATTACTCATCAGTTTCTTGCTCTCAATTTATATACTTGAAATTTCTCATTCTAATATTGCTTTACATATTTGTTGTCTAATATTTATTTCTAGTTAGTGACAAACTCCAAAATCAACGTTTTAAAAATCTATTGTCCGAAAACAAAAACTCACTTGAATGCGTGATTCGACCCTACTTGCCATTAGACATTTTTAGTTAAATGGTTGTAAGTATTTTATGTTGATATGGAGTGTATTTGACAACGACAAGTCCATAAGCTTTTAATTAGACTTTTATATTATTTAAATATTCTTATATGTTTGTTTTGTGTTTTGTAGGTATTAATGCATGAATGAGAAGAAAAGAAATAAAAATGAAAAATAAGTGAAGAAGAGAAATGAGGAGAGAGAAAGAAGGAAAAAAAAAGAAGAAAAAAAAAAAATCCTACTACTTTATGGAAGTTAAGAGATGTCATTATTTTAGATTGAGATTGAGCTTGTTACTAAGGTGATATAATGATAAACATTGCACCATGGGAATTTAGAAGTGGAGATATTTTTGCACAAAGTCGCAGCTTGAAAGAAAGAAGTGAATAATCTCCCAAGAATCTAGAAATCTATTACTGGGGACTTAAAACCATGTGAGCTTTCGTACCTTTCATCTTTTTAAAGAGTTTTACGCTAACTCCGAGTCACAAGATGGCTCAAATTTCTTGGATAGCACGATAAAATTTTGTTGTTAGTCTCATAATTCTTCATCTTGGTAGATCATTGAAAATGAAATCACATCAAGTTAAGAGAAAATTAAGTCTTCTAACTTACTATGTACTATCATACCTTCATTACCTTTTATAATCTTGTTATTTTTCTGAGAAATGTTAGGGATGCCTGTATGTAAAAGAAAAAGGGATCAAGAAGTCATTCATATCCTCTTATAAAAATAAAAAATAAAAAAAAAATGAAGAAGAAGAAGAAAAAGAGTAAAGTATCCCTTTCAAGCATTTTGAAGACCCCTCATTCTCAGAAACATTTTTGTACAAATTGAGCCCAGTAATATTTTTAGAAAAGGTATGATAGTGCATAGTAAATAAAAAGGCGTTATGGTGGGTGACTCGACATTCTCTCAAAAGTGATCAACATTCCTGTCATGAGACTCTTCTGTTATATGTATCGGTCTTTCAAATAATTAATATGTGAGCTTGATTTTACTTTGGAAACAGAGTTTCTACTCACATACATTTGAGAGATACAGTTAGCCAAATATTTGAGAGATGTTCTTTTAGAGAGATATTTACTGTGAGATTTGAAGTCAAAACATAGTTTTCTAAAGACTTGGGAATTTCATCACTTGGATTTGAAAATGGATTTCTGCCGACTTTGCACACACACACTCTCTACTTCTAGGTTGTTTATGGGTGAACTTTCTTGAAATATTTGTTTTCATAACACCTTAATAGCTCGTTGAATATAAAGAACTTGATATTTTCATCTCTGAAACTTTTTATTTTGTAGGTATGCAGGAAAATTCTTTGGAAGTTTGTGGGTACCTTCACTGAAAACCCTCATGAGGCTATAACTCGTCCACTAGGGGTAACCTAGTGGTTTAAAGCCTTATTGTATATCGTAAATGTAATCGAAAATAGCCTGCGAAAGTGGCACATCTTTTTGTTAATAAAAGTAATATTTTTTGTGAACTTATTTATTTTTGTCTTTCTTTGCTAGAGGACTAGTAAAAGCTAGTTTGATAAGTATACAAAACCTATTATTTTATGCACCAAAATAAGTTTTTAATTAGACTTTTATATTATTTAAATATTCTTATACGTTTGTTTTGTGTTTTGTAGGTATTAATGCATGAATGAGAAGAAAAGAAATAAAAATGGAAAATAAGTAAAGAAGAAAAATGAAGAGAGAGAAAGAAGAAAATAAAAAAACAAAATTCAATTGCAATAAGAGAAATAATGTACACGTGAAGAAAGAAGAAAAGAGGAGAGAGAAAGAAGAAAAGAAGAAAGAAAAAAAAAAAAAAGGGAAGAAGTGGTTGAAATAGAGTTAGGAAGA